GTGCGGCGGCGGATAAAGCAGATGGTGTAGTCTCATTTCCGAACAAATCGGTGTTTAGATCGAATGTGACCGTCACGTGTGTATTGTGGAGGGGGAATGAGTTTTTGGGGCCGCGGGATAGCGCGGCAAGGCAGCCGTTGTATAGGGATGTTTTGATCGCGGCGAGATCAAGGTGGCTGGGAAGGATGTCTTCCGATACTTTCGGCTTTTTGTAGCTATGATGGTTGGAGATAAGACCCGGGGCGAGGATTGTGATGCGATTTCCATCGTGCTTTTCATCAAGAAGAAAATTTTCGTGCGCTTTAATGTGTTCTTCACCGAATTCGTCTGGATTGAAGGGTTCAACCACTACTGCACAGCCTGCTTTCCCCTTCCGACCCGCAATTTCTCTATCAAAGACTCTAGTTATTGAGGGCGACGTTTCGGATATGCATTCACGATAACCGATTTCAATTTGACCCATAGTGACTTTGGCCTTGAAGTCATTAACTAGCCTGTCCCTAGCGATCTCAAGATGCAGCTCACCCATCCCGCTCAATAGGGTTTGGCCAGAGTCTTCGTCAATTGTAACGTGGAGGCTAGGGTCTTCTCGTAGCAGCAATGCTAACATTTCATGAAGGTGCTTTTCCTCGCTTAGACTGTGAGGTTCAAGGCTCGCAAAGAACACCGGTGGTGGAACAGCTATCGGACGTAGTTGTAGTTTATTGAGCGGTTCTGGAGGACCGGTCTTGATTCCTGGGTACGAAAGCAGTGTATCGCCAGTCCGTGCATATTTCAGTCCAACTATAACACCGATATGCCCTGCTGGGATTGATTGGACTTCCATCGCCTCCGAAGCGTACATTTTCAGAAGGCGAGGAGCACGTTCTGATAGGTTAAGGTGCGTGTTGAACAGAGATGCGCTTCGGTTGATTGACCCCGAGTAAACTCGAACATAAACCAGGACGCCTCTCTTGGCATCGCTGACTACCTTGAAAGCAAGAGCGCATCCTTCAAGCTTTTCAATGGCTGTTTGGGCCACCGAGTAAGGGGAAACATGCTTCTTCTTCTTCTTTTCTGGGACAAGTTTCTTGTTCTCTTGCAAAATGAGGTCGCCATTTAATAGGCTTTGCAAACCCCCCTTGACTGGGCCAATACTAATTTCTGGATCCGGGCGTTCTTTGGGACTTGGAAGAAGGTTCACTACCTGATCAAGCAGAGGTTGAACGCCGATATTTCGGAAGCTTGCTCCGGCGAACACGGGAATGACTCTTGTCTGTTCTGAGTCGAGGAGGCATCTTCGGAGGCTCTCCAGGATCTCAATTGGCTTGACTGCCAGATGATCCTCGTTATGTTCCAAGAAATTTTCAACCATCACTTCGTCATGTTCGCTCAGAAGTTCAACAAGAGCAACCCGCGCTTTCTTTAACTCACATGCAAACACCTCATCTATTTTCTCTAGCTTAGCCAAGGTTGACACTGCGATTTTCTTGCCATCACCACCTTCCTGCCAGAGGAGACCTTGAAGAGAGATCGCGTCGCCAACGCCCTGGAATCGACCATAGGCAGATTCAAACCATGGGATTTGGCAGACGGCGGGCCAGCTATCTAACTTCGATCCTACTTCCTGGACAGTTCGCCCAAAAGCAGCTCCATCGCGATCAAGTTTATTAATATATACAATACGTGGGATATGGTATGTTGAAGCCTGATTCCAGACCTTCTCTGTCTGTGCTTCGACTCCTGCCACCCCATCTAGAATACAAACTGCACCATCAAGGATCCGGAGAGACCGTAAAACTTCAAAAGTAAAATCTGCGTGTCCGGGAGTGTCGATAAGATTGACGGTATGTGGGGCAGCCGATCTGGGAAGCCCTTTCGCGGTTAACTCTTTAGGCGTTGGGATTGAATGTTGTTCTGATGGTCTAGGAGGCCAATCGAAAGTGATAGCGGCCGATTGAATCGTGATGCCCCGAGCTCTTTCGGCCGGAAGAAAGTCAGTCACCGTGGACCCATCATCGACGTTCCCAATTCTCCTAGTTACACCACTGTAATAGAGCATTCGCTCTGTAGTCGTTGTTTTACCAGCATCGATATGAGCAATGATCCCGATATTCCGAACTCTGTCTAAGTCTGCTGCCCCCTCCGCTGGTTGGCCACTATCAGTTGAATACCGTCGCAGAACTGACTGGCGATATCGAGAGGATACTGCTGGCAATATCCTAGTATCCCGGATACATCTTGAGCAGATCCATCTTGAGGGTAAACCAATTGGAATCATATTTGGCATCAAGAATGACGAATGTAGGTGGCTGCAATGGATGTTAACTCGACATTGGAGTTTAAAAATCAACGTCCCAATGTTATATAACCAATTGAGGCATAGAAATACCCCGTCTGGCTACAAATTGAGGAGCTAACCCAGGAATTGCTCTATTTTGCCTAGAAATAATGAAGATGAGCTCTTGTAGTTATTAATTATTATTGTTCTGCCAGAATTTACCCGCGAAGTTTAAAAGCTGGCGCTAAGGTGGGTTGCAAGCGCCACTAGCGCCATCCGCATCCACTCAACCTCCGACGACACTATGGCTACGATCTCTACCTTCGTGGACATCATCCGCGCACTTTTGAAGCTTGTTTTAGGCTGATGCATCCTGACAATCATCAAATTCTACTACGGAATTGCGGCGATTTGCTATCTCTGAACTCGGGTGTTCTAGGGCAAACATCGCGACTGTCCTGGGTGCCTAGAACTCCACCTGGCCTCACTATTATGAACCCGCAGCCCCCCGTGGTCTGGCAGTGATATTCTCCCTTGAAATATAGTAAAACCAAGTGTGGTCGCCATGGACTATTCGTCCCTTCCACAAGATCCGGAACATCCTGTCGGTTCATCCCCGTGGGGTTCGGCTTCTCCTCGAACCGATCGGATGTTCCCCGCATCTGAAGTTCCTCCATCTCCGTTACCTCCCCAGCAATCACCATATGGCCCAGACGGTGAACGACAGCAGGACGAAGAGTCTACTACGCAGGGTCTATCTGAGCGACTCCAAGATTCCCAGATCGACGACCAAGTCCACGAAGAACATTCCTCCCACCCTCCCTCCAATTATGAACAACCTCCTCAGCAACGAGCACAAGTTTCGGCCAGATATCAAACCGGAGCAAGAAACAAAGCGCGTCCAAATGCTCCCCAGTACAAATTACAGGCTAAGATTACGGGATTGGAGAGAACTGGAAAGAAGGATCCTATCTTGCGATTTGACGTCCACGTATGTCTCATTTTTTCTAGCATCAAAACCTTGCGATTTTGCTAAATTCTATTATTGTGATAGACGAACATACCAAAGTTTCGAACAACGCAATTCCGCGACGTTCGCCGAACCCATTCCGAGTTTATCAAGCTTGCCGATCATTTAATATCCTCGAACCCTGAGGCCATCGTTCCAGCCGTACCTCCTCCGTTAACTCCAGCCGGCGCCGGAACGGATGAAGATGAGATTCGGGTGAAAGCGTCGATGCAGAGATGGTTTAACTATGTTTGTGCAAATGATGCCCTGATGCAAGATGATGAGATGATACTTTTCGTCGAGAGTGATTTCGGGTACAGCCCTGTCGTTCGGATGAAGCAGCCAGCTACTGGGGTTCGGAGAAAGGTTCTCAAACAATTTGCTCCTCCGCCGGACGATACGCCAGAACTGCAAGATGCGCGCCCGGTTGTCAAGTTGTTTTATTTGGGTACCATGGATACAGGCCAGAAGGTCGACCGTGTTGTGAAAGCAAGAAAAAGTAAGCATGCAGGCTCCGCACGATGACAACAACTTTTAACTCTTTGTTTCTAGGTCTAGCACTCGCGGAATCAGACCTCGGCGTAAAAATGGGCCAGATGCACGTCCAAGAAACCCACCCAGGTCTCGCTAATGCGTATCGTAAACTCGGGAAAGTGATTCAAGCTGTAGGCGATTACCACGCTGCACAAGGAACTGCGGAGGCCACCACCTTTGGCGATCCTTTAAACTACCACTCATCTGATGCGTTTATCGTCAAAGAGACGCTGACAAACCGACACATCTTGCTCCGGGAGCTGATCCAAGCCCAACAGTCCGCGCGTAGCAAACGCGCCGCCGCTGACAGATTAAAGGGAAGCACCTCCGTTCGATCCGACAAGGTTGACGAGGCCATCAGCTCCCTCGAAGACGCACAGGCGCACGAAGAATACTTAACCAAGAAAACCCAACGCGTAACCGCCAATCTCCTACAAGAAAAACGCCGCTGGTTCAAGCGTACGACATCTGATATGCTCCTCAGCATCCGTGAATACACCCTCCGGGAAATAGAAGCTGAGCGTCGCACTCTCAGCACTCTTGAGAGCATCCGGCCAGATATCCGTGCAATCGATGCCTCTGGCGGCTTGAGCCGGCTAGGTCGCGAATCGCACCCTGCAGCTCGTCGGGCTAGTCTGGCAGCAAGCCAGGGCCCCAAGGGCGATGCGTGGAGTGGTGTACCGCGCCGCGGTGACAGCTTAAGTCGGAGCATCAGTGGAAGTTTTATCTCTCCAATTCGCGAGTATGAAGGCGAGGCTAATGGAGGCAGGACACGTAACCGCTCCCTTAGCGGGTCTGGAATGATTGGTTTGCCTGAGGAAGAGGATGATGATCGAGTGGATGCCAAAAATGCGGCAAGCCGCTTGGCTACCAGTACATTTTGAGTGTGGCATGATATGTAGATTATGACGAGATATTCTCATTTTACCTCTGTTTCTTTTCTTGCACCTGCCCGCCGCTGCTGAGAGAATACCTTGGCCTTTCTACCTTGTCCCCATTTCCTATTTATTTATACCGGCTCTGTAAGTTGCTTTCTGAACGAAATTCACTTTTGTTTCATAATTTGAATTCGTGGTTCATAATCATACACCCCTTGCACTCCAGTCATACCAAAAAAAAGAAAAAAGAAAAAAGAAAAAAGAAAAAAGAAAAGAAAAGAAAAGAAAAAAGAAAAAAATATAATTATACAAAAAAGAAGCCAACCCCTCACATCTCCCCCCTCTACTCACCATCCCCTTCTCCCCTCCGCCACAACCTCCCCCAACCCCACCGCCTCCAACGTCTCCTCCACCCGCGCCACCCGCGCCCGCGCCTGCCCCTCCACCACGCCCGCAAGCAGACCCTGGTCATCCACGGATCGCAGGGCGCGCGCCATCTGCGCGTCTTCTTGATTTGTGCCACCTATGGGCGTGGCGGAAAGCTGGCCGCGCCTCGCACGGTCCCTCTCGACGTTTACCACCTCTGCGGACAGTCTTGTGACAGACTGCCGCATAGTGACGACTGTTGAGAGGGATTGCGAGGTTGTCTCCCGCAGAGCGAGGTAAGCCTCGCGAAGGGCTTTATTTTGGGCTCGGAGGACTGCGAGGAAATTAAGGATGTTAGTTGTTTTTTCTGCTGTAATTAGGTGGATGGAAGGTGTTTTGGATCAAATGATGAAGGCAATCAGCGTTGCAACGGTTGAGGACGCGTTCGAAACTGCTTTTACAGAGGGACTTGAATTGTACTTACAGCCCACCTCTCGCTCTGGTGCCCTCTTCCTCTCCTCCTCCTCCTGCAGGGCTCTTGCGAGCTTCCTGCCCGCTACTGGGGGCTCTGTCAAGCTCGCTGTCAGCGTCATGGAAGGGGAACGTTTAGTTAATGAGTTTTTGAGTGAGCGTATCGAGATGAAGAAACATAAAGGCAAGGGGTGTCAACCTCCTGATTTCTCCTGAGGAGATGAGAGCCCGCGGGCTCCTACATGGGGAGTTGGGACTTCGTGGGCAATGTGCCATACAGGTAGGTAGTAAGAGAAGCGGAGCGGGGGCTTGGTGCGGTGTATCAACGCGGTACAGAGGAGACGGGTTGTGGCTGAGAAAGAGAAGAAGAAGAAAGGATGGAGGAGGAAGAGGAAGAGGAAGATGTATATGAAGCGAAGTGGAAGCGATACTAAGGTGAGGTCTGACTAATCGGATTCCAAACATGCAAACAAACATTGTGACGGGAATATGGAAAGTGAAGTGAATCTGCTTTCATCACTATGGCAAAGAAATTGAACAAGAGACTTACCTCCAGGTTTCACTTGTCTTGGGGCGTCAGCAACCTTGCCTGTCTTATGATGTGCATAGAGACATTCATCCACACTGTATTTACACTGGCCCTTCTCATTCCACCACCAGCAGGTTAGGTGCTTGACTGAAGGTCTATCTCTTCTTGAGCCAGAAGTACTTTGTCTTGACTCAGATGGCTGCAAACTCTGGAGGGGAGTATTTCGTTGCTGAGCTTGAGCTGCTGATTGAATCTGTGACTGAGTTTGGAACTGAAAATTCTGGTATGGTTGCTGTACTTCAGGCTGTTGTCCTCTGGTGAAAGCTGATGGTCTCATAGGGAGATATTGGTTTCCATTGTTATGCACATGCTGGGTCCCTACTCTTTGTTGAGGAGGCTGCAACATTCGATGTGCTTCTTGCTGGCTCCGTCCCGTTGCATTCGCCATTCCGTACGTGTGCTCATTTGCAGCCCCCTGCACGCCAGAGAAACCAGATCCAGACGCTGTGGTTGAGGTTGGCCAAGGACGAATTGAAGGCTTAGGCATTGAATGGGACTCTGGATTATTAAGAAACGTTGCTCCTACCCGGCTCGTTTGAGCTACAGAACTCCATGTTGTCGTAGGGGGTTGGGTTTCTAGCCCATGGGTTTCTACTGTGTTCTTTGTCAGAGATCGGTACTGTCGAGAATATTCTTCCGGAATTGGCCCAGGACTATCCAATCGGTCAGGCATTCCGGTATAGAGGGACGGATCCCAATCAGCCATTCTGCGACGAACTATCGGGATAAATCGTTATTGTGTCCTTCGAAGCGCAGCAGAACGTTACGGTAGTGTGTTTATTTCTGCTCGAAATCCAAAGGAATTTCCAAAAGTGTTTCCAAACGGGCTTCCAGAAGGCTTTCTTGGAATGAAATTGCGCAGAACGCAAAACGAAATCGGTTTGCAGAATTCCTTGGGACTTCTGTGGTATCTTGATGGAATGTCCTTAATGCTAGGTATTCTGCTGAAACTTGGATTGCTATACAAGTTTGATTGCGTTCTCGGCGTTGCTACGAGAAGGTCTATCTCAAGGTTGAACAGATTGGAATAACAGTTGATTTCAAAAGGAAGTCTTGCGAATAACCTTTTGAAAGGGGGATGCGAACGAACAGCTTGAGCCAGCTCCTGAAGAGCGGTGGTTTTCGCGGTATAGGATAGGATGCTGTTCTGCTGGGAAAGGAAGGAAGAAAGGGCCTAGCTATATGCTAAAACGAATGTTTGATCCAGGCGATGGAATGACTGAATAGTTCAACCTTGTTGACAAAAAGGGCACTCTTTGCTCTGCGGGTTTCCAACAGCCCTAGGGGCTAGGCGATGGATGGCTCTTTGCTATGTCGAGAGGACGATACCCTAGCTGCGTGGACACCAAGAGGCCTTCAGAATACCCGACCTGGTATTAGAGACTGTTTCTTCTGAAGCAATAAGGAGAACAAAGATGTTCTGCAGAGTCCAAGACGGGAGATACAACTGGAAAAGGGGCAAAGCCGTGGAAAGGGATATGATGATGGAAAGGTGATGAAAGACTTGGGTTCAATCAAAGGAATGTCAGAGCAGAAAAGGTGTGATCACTGTTGGAGTCTTTTGAATAATGACAAAAGAAGAAGAAGAAGAAGATTTTTGATCTGAATCTTGTTTTATATTGAGTATTGTGTGGTCCCTAGGTGTTGTTAGAGCCCCTTTAAGAGATCACGTGGATGATCTTGCCCTGCACTGGTTGGGATAGAGAGGGTGATTTTGATGTATTCTATCATGCATCTTCAATTCTCTGTTTGGACAATGAGTGCCTGAAGCACCAAATAACTACAACAATCGGCTCCTTGCATTTCGATGGAACACCCTATTATTACATTATCCGATGAGCCCTCAGCTCAAAAACCCAGAACGAAATATATGGAAGATCATGGGATATGACCCCTTTTCTCCTTACTGCAAAATTGCCGCTCAGATATACATCGAATACCAATGCCCGCTATCATTTACGAGCCACCACTCCAAAAGGGTCTCCCTCCCCCCCCCCCGAATCCCGGCGGCTGCTCCTCAAGATCCGGATCCGTGAAGTATTTCACCACACCATCATTCGGCACCTTATACCAAGACGGTTTCTCTCTCACCCAGTAATACACGGATGACTTATTCAATTCGTCCCATCCATCTTTTTTGGCTCCTGCTTCCCCTTCCCCTTTCCCTTCCATTTCCCCTTCCCCTTCTCTCTTTCCTTCCAGTCCCCACTTCACATCCCAATCATCAATAGAGCCCCCAGTTAACGAAATCCTCTCCGGGTGCTCATTCATCTGGAACACCAAACTCGAGCCACACTTGTCGCAGAACCCGCGGCGGGCGAAGGTGCTAGCTGAGAAATATTTAGGCTGCCGGTCGTTGAGCCAGGTTACGGCCGTTGTGGGGAAGCGGACGTATGTTTGGAACGGGCCGCCCGCGGACTTGCGGCATTCAACGCAAAAGCAGTGCGATAGGCTACTGGGAAGGGCGGTGGAAGTGTAGCGGAGGTAGGAACATGCACAGCCGCCTACGACGACCGGAGCTGGATCTGTGGTTGTTGGTGTGGCTGCGGACATTGTTGCTTTTTCTTTCTTTCTTTCTTTATTTTTTTCTGTTCTTATGACTTGAGGTATTTCAATATGTTAGATTCCTCTCTGATTATAAAAATAGGTAATATGAAATTCGGTTTTCGTGACTTCTTTTTTCCTGTTGTTTTGGAACCGCTCAGCAGTAATTATGTAAACGAAGTTAAACTCGGAAATGGACTACTTATGTGGAGGTGAAACGGAGATTAATATATCATTGAAGGAATTACACATTTCGGCTCCAAGTTTTGCTCAGCGCGGGGTATTTCGTGCACCATGCCCCTGTCATAAGGCGCGCGGGGCGGGAATACGAGGTTGTGGACGGGCAATATCGAATCGTCCAAGTTAGAATACTTTATTGTAAGTGAACCTTATTAAGCTGCTTGGAAATCCCCACGTTTCATAACGCCTAGTTGTGACCGAATCTAGGGCACATATTCTTGACATAGTGGATCCGTTCCCGAGCTTAAAAGGTAATTCTCCTTCTAAGAACAGAATGCCCCACCGGAAAGCCACAGTTGTTGTGTTGTCATATCATATGTTCTTTCGTTGAAAGCTGGCTATTTGGATAGGCCAACAATGGATGTGGACAATTGTAATGAGGACTGGTGCATGCATCTATTCCACTATCTTAGAGCTCCTCCAATCTTCAAGATGACAGTGTGGATATAATTCTAGATGTCAAAATGACAGAAATGAGATGTCTTGAATGATTAGCAGCTTTAAAAACCAAAACATACTATGAAAGAATATTAGTTACTAGACTATGTATATATTTCAGTGCTCATATGTGCACTTGAGTTAATGATTCTAGAGCAAAATGCCAAACCCAATGTCAATAGCTCCTTCTTATGAAATCTGGCTTTGTATAAACAGGCCCAGCTTCTGGAGTCTTTGGTTCCCTGCACATCATGCAGTTTTGAACATGCTGCTGTAATAAGCATGGTGTTTCCTAGGCATCCTATTCAAAATATGCTCCTGTATTCTGCAAGAAGTGTTTTGCAATCTCCAACAATGAGTGCCTATTCTTCTGCCTCACCCTCTGTGTCTCTGGAGAGTCAGAAGACTAGCTCAAGAGGAACAGCAAGTTCTCCTACTTCAATCCCTTGAACAGCGTTTGCCCAAAGTGTATTTTTGACCGCGACCAGGTGGCCTTTGAGCCTTGTACCGTACATACAGCTTGGTAAAGCCAAAAGAATACGCCTCCTACAGTCTGCAGAGTGATTCTTAAGATTGTAGCTTTGAGGGTTTCGATTGCTCCGTGGTTATCACGTCCCCTGCGGTGCGGAATGAGATTGAACAGCATTTCAATTCGGAATGTGTGAGACAGCCAGTCTTTTGTTATACAGGGTCCAAAATATAAATATGTCTATTAAATAAAATGCTCAGCGAGATTTTCAATCTCAATGCACAATGTTGCAGATCTCAACCACCAGTGGGAGCTTGCAAAAGGTCTGAAGAACCCAAGCTTGACACTGTACAGCGTATGCTAAAGCCATAACCCAAAATGGCAAAGCGGCGCCCAGATGGTTCCAAGAATGGGGGAGTGTCCAGGATGGATTATACATTACCCCACTGCTTGCCAAGGTGGATGAGAACATCAGCATCATCAGGTGAATTCACGAGGAATATATAAGAGGGCTGGTGCCAGGGGAGTTGTTCTTGAACTATCACCAAACCATCATCCATGTGAATTGTTGCTGAAAGCCCTGAAGCACGCGTTCACCTATTCGCACTACTGTCTCCATATCCCTTCAACAGACCCCGACCCCTCTTGGAGCGACGGGAGCCCCGTTTCACTAATCTACTAAATAAGAACCCCCCCGCAGCGTCAAAATGGCCCCACCCAAGGTATTCGTGTGAGTTAACAGCGCATTCCGCTCCAAACTAAGTATCCCACGGGCGATCTGACAAAGCTTAGGACTGGAGCTACTGGATACATCGGGGGAGATGCTTTCTTCCGTCTCAATGAAGTCCACCCGGAATGGGAGTTCACTGCACTCGTCCGCAGTCAGGAAAAAGGAGCGTTGGTTACTAGCAAGTATCCAAACACTAAGCTTGTGTACGGGGATCTCGACTCCGTTGCGCTCCTCGAAGAAGAAGCAAAGAAGGCGGATATCGTCTACCGTATGACATGTCCTTGCAAGATACTATCTTCTATTTCCTCTTCATACTTGTGAAGTAACGTATATGTTTAATCGTCTGGGAAATGGCTGGCTAACACGGTTTACTTATGATCTTGCTGGCTTCAACAGACTTCGCGGACTGTGACCATGTTGCTTCCTCACAAGCGATTGCCAAGGGCATAGCTGCCCACACGCCCGATCGCCCTGGTTGGTGGATCCACACTTCGGGAACAGGTATTCTCACATTCGAAGATTTAGGCAATTCGACCTACGGAGGTCTTCGCCCGAAGGAATACAATGACTGGGATGGAATTGGCGAAGTGACGTCTCTTCCCGACGAGGCTTTCCATCGAGACGTGGACAAAATCGTCTTGGCTGTCGGTGAGGTTGCTGCTGATCGGGCCAAGACAGCCATCGTCTGCCCCCCGACAATCTATGGCGCTGGACGGGGTCCAGGAAATACCCGAGGTTCCCAGATATACAACCTGGCCAAGTACGTTCTAAAGAGAAAGAAGGGCCTCCAGGTGGGCAAAGGCGAAAATGTCTGGCACGAAATCCATGTTTATGATTTGAGTGACCTATTCCTCCTCCTTGGCGAAGCTGCGGCTGCCGGCGGCGGGAAAGCGACTTGGGGAAAGGAAGGGTATTACTTTGTGGAAAATGGATCGTTTGTCTGGGGCGATGTGGAGAAGGCGGTAGCGAAGATTGCTTTTGACAAGGGACTGATCACCTCCTCAGAGCTGGAAATCCTGGATGGCAAGCAGACTGCAGATTTGTTTGCATTTGGGCCTTTCTCGTGGGGAACCAATTCGAGAGCCCATGCGATTCGTGCGAAGAAACTTCTTGGTTGGAATCCGCACCGGCCATCTGCGCGTGAAATTTTGCCTGATATCGTTGACCTTGAAGCAAAGGCCTTGGTCCTTGCTTGAAATTGTTAAAATTTATCTTGGGGACGTGCTAAATAGTTCCTAATACGGAAGACTGGGTCGAGCTTAGTGACTGTACAAGAAAAATACACAACATTTCCATATTTTCAACCTCACAATGGATACTCAGATACAATCATTCTTGACAAATACCTTCAGTGTCATACTGATAAATAGGTTCTTCGATTTCCCTCCCCTAAGCACTTGTCCCTTGTGCCAGCTTCCAACCGCACCTCCTTCCCCTCCCCTCCTTCCCCTTAACTCCTCCCTCTTCCTCTTCTCTTCTCTCCCTTCGGGGGCCTATCTATAAGGAATAGGTGGCACGTCTGGCAGAAGCCAATCATCTTATGAATTGTTAATCAAGTAATGAACACTGCTATATTATCTGACAAGTAGTAATCATTGACACCGAGAGCACATCTCCTTAATAAGTCCTTTCTTCACGCGTTGTTATACGTACAAGATCTCTGAGCAGTACTATATGAAGGTCTCAGAGCACCGTTCTCTCAGAGATCTTCAGACATCTATGATGAGAAGACAAAGATCAGGAACATAAGAAATAATTTTACCAGCGTGATTCATTCAGTCTTCCATACTCATGTCCGGTCGTTACCTAACTCCGTCAGTAGTTACCCCCGAAATCAGGCCAGGAGACTTCAACTCTAGCTAGTTCAGATTGTTAATGCCAATCCCGCCATGTCCAACAAACCCGGTACGCAGCCTGCTATGGTAGAGTTAGTATGCATGGTCATGAGTAGTTATCTCATGAAAACAGATATGCAATTGAATTGAAACTCCACCGAACTCCTCCATGAATGGTCGCTCTGTAGCTCCCTGTGGTGTACACAGTGCGTTCTAGCAGAGATCTGAAAGCCATTCCGTCCATCGAGCTCAACTTGTAAGTCATTTAAAGTATGGACACGCTGCCGATCATCACGAACTTGTTTCCAAGCTCCGTCTTGCTGACAAATTTTGGACCGAAAAGTTTCGGTCAAGCTTCGGTGGCGTCAGTTCCTGCAGGGCAGAATACTACAGCAGTAGTTACTTACTTCCCTTAATGGTTGACCGCCAACTAGCAAGACTTAAGTCCGCAGCTGTAGATGATATGTTAGATAGTGACGTAAGGACCAATTCTCCTGATAAGTAAGTCGATGAATCAAAGTATGAGGTGACAAATCAGCCCAAAGGGTAAGCAGGGGCCGCTGTCGAGATAGGAGTTTGTGAAAAGGATTTAATTCAATCGTCCATTGCCTCCAATTTTATTGATCTTTTTTGGAAATGGAATTTGGTTCCATTAACCATTACAATCATTCCCTGCCTATTGCTATCTGCGAGGAAGCACAACATATTCCCTCTTCCATCTACTGCTTTTCAGCTCCAGAATGGCAGTTGAGAAAACCGAAGGCGATAGTTCAACCAGCCGTGCAAAGGACTCGACTACTGAGGCTGAGAGTCCCACAGCAATCGAAAGCCCTACACTAGATACTCCTCCACGCAACATCGACGGATGGAAATGGTATCTGACCTTCATATCGATCCTAGCCTCAACCTTCCTCTATGCCCTCGACGTGACAGTGGTAGCCGATCTGCAGGCCGTTATCGTGGAAGAACTCGGCGGCATCCAGAACTTGGCATGGCTGAGCGTCGCTTTCCTGCTCTGCGCGACCGCTGTTAACCTGGTCTGCGGCCGAATGTACGGCCAGGTAAACGTGAAGTGGCTCTTCATCGTTAACGCGGTCATTTTCGAGGTCGGCTCGGCCATCTGCGGCGCCGCCCCATCCCTCAATGGCATGATTCTTGGTCGCGCCTTAGCAGTCATGGGGGGCCCCGGCTTGTATGTTGGGTGCATGACGCTTATTGCCGCCACCACCACGTTCACGGAGCGGCCATTGTCTGTATCCTGCACCGCCTTGACATGGGGACTTGGAATTGTCCTAGGCCCTGTGGTCGGGGGTGCTTTTAGCGAGTCTGATGTGGGCTGGCGATGGGCATTCTATATCAACATTTTCATCGGCGCCGCCTGTGCCCCCTTTTACCTTCTCCTCATCCCAAGTATAGACCCGCGCCCGGGAGCGACTATCAAGGAGCGGTGGGCCGAGCTGGATGACCCGGGTATCCTGCTGCAGGGCGGCGCGCTGACAGCCTTCATTCTCGCGCTTAATCTGGGCGGACTCACGTTCCCGTGGAATTCGGCGCGGATTATTTCCATGTTTGTCGTCGCTGGTGTGCTATTTATCCTGCTGGGCATCCAACAAACCTGGGCTATCGGCACCTGCCCCTCGCGTCGTATTATTCCAGTGCAGTTCTTCCGCTCACGTACGGTGCTCCTCTTGTTCAGCTGCACAGCTGCCTCTGGCGCATGTGCCTTTGTGCCCATTTTACATGGTTCCTCTTTTCTTCCAGTTCACGCGTGGCGACACCCCGTTAGATGCAGGGTGGCGATTGCTGCCTTTAGTGATAGTAATGATCGTGTTTGTCTTTATCAACGGCACATTGATGGCCAAACTAGGGTATTACATGCCGTGGTACTTGGTAGGCGGTTTTCTGACTATAGTTGGATCTGGCCTCATGTACGTTGTCGAGCACGACACTCCTCTCAGCCGCGTTTACGGGTATACCGTACTCATAGGCACCGGCGTAGGAATGTTTCTCCAGGCCTCATTTTCCGTCACCCAAGCTGTGGTCGACCAGGAAAATGTCGCACCAGCCATCGGGTTTATCACATTAGCATAGTTCGTGGGGATTACAATTGCTCTTGCCCTTGCCAACGCCATCCTCCTCAACGCCAGTCAGGACCAGATTCAGGAGATCCTACCGGACGTTGCCGGGGCGGACATTCAGGCGGCCATCCTGGGGGCTCGTTCTGGCCTGGTGCAAAACTTCTCTCCAGACCTCAAAATGCGGGTGCTTGATGCCATTGTCAGTGCCATTGACAAAACATATGCGCTAGTCATCGCAGGGGGCGCCCTTGTAGCAGTCTCAAGTCTCATGATCCGCCGCGAGAAACTATTTTCGCGACCGCAGGTATTGCTGCTGGTGCCTGAGAGGACTCGCTCCATTTTCCTGCCCAAGCTTGTCCGACGGGCTGACCACTACGAGAAGTCTTAGGCTTTCTTTTCTATTTGGTTTCCTAGTGTCAAAATTCTTTGATATATTAGCAAAATTTTGTGCTTAGACTCAATTTTGTACTTCAATCATCCAAATGAAGTGGTTTGTGGGTTCTGTGGCATTCTTTTGCTAATGAGCAGAAGACTGGTGGTGGCGAGTCTTTGAGAGATTCAGGATTTATCGTATTTGAAAGGAGTTTGATCATTGTCAGGTGTTGCAATGTATGAGATTCCCAGTTAGTTATCTACATAGTAATGGACGATTAATGGAGATAGTTGAGAGTTGTGGTTTCTGATTGACGCAATATGGAGATAATATCTCGCCGTAAAGATTAGTTACCAATATCGCACTACGGAGCACAGCCTCCGAAGTAGTTAATATAGCCCGGAACGGTTTCGTCACAATGTACTATCGAAGGATCCTTCAAGCATCCTCGGTGCTTGCTCTCTTCTAATCCCCGTGGAGTGCTCCCTTCTTTTTGGCTTCTTGTGTTCCTTTCTTTTAATGAATGTATGTCTGGACAGAGAAGTGTAAGTGGGTTGTTGAAAGACAGGACGTTCTCTAGGGAAATGAGTGAGGTTGTGGTGGCTGGCTAGCTAACTTAGATGCACGCTTACCAAAACTCGCTTAGCGCACAAGGCTTGCGGCTCTTCCCCGTCCAGGTGGCTAAACCGAATTGAGAAGGCTAAGGTCCGGACAGCAAAGATTCAATCGACAACTCAACTGCGATTCACGCAACCGGTGGACAAAGCAAACGCGATTAACCGAAAACGATCAGAAAGCTGTGAAAGGCTTGTGGGCCTTCTTGTTTAACCTTCCTTATGGATAGTCTGCGACTGGTAATCCCCCTTCCCCTTCGTCTTTCTGTGCTACTTGACCTGTTTACTCACTGAATCATTGATGTCTTCGCAACAATCCAGATAGTCAAAACCTTATGAATCGCTCTTTCAACGCGTCAAATTTCATTCTCCTGAGCGACAACGCGCCCCCAAGCATCCACCATGGCTCCTCCGGCTGGTGGGAAGCGTAAACGCGGCGATAGGTCATGGCCTGGAGATGCGGCAAACAGTGGCCCGCGGCCTTCTCCTCATCGTCCAGGAAGCCTCAACCTGGCCCAGCAGCAACAACAAAACCAGTTCCATAGCCAAGGTCGGGATTCACAGGATAACCATGGTAGGGGAGCACGAAGAGCAAGCAGAGGCAGTAACCGGAATGGTACGCCAGTGCGAAGAGGGAGCGACGCTCACAACTCCCACCAGAAAGAAAGCTCTCCTTCATCGAGATCTGTCATGGCATCACCTAGAGAACCCCCCGAACCTTCTCAACCAAGCAGGACTCCCTCCGCCCCAATACCTAATGCCGTGGCTAAGCCTCTGGCGACCCCCTACTCCTACGACTACGTTACACAGGAGTGTATTGAGAGCTGGATGTCGACGGGCAAGAAAAATGTCGTCGAAGCTGGGATCAACGCCCGGAAGACCGAGAGCGCCATGGTTATCTCGTCTATCTTCCAGGAGATTATCCAGTCGGTTTTTGATGGCCGAATATCTGCAGTCGATGGAGGGACGTGTGTGAAGGAGATTGTTGGCGAAGACGTGACTACTGATGAGGCAACCGATTCGGGTGAACCGAACAGCGCTGTGATTCCACCTTTTGATGCGCGTTCTCTTTTCCTCGATACCCTCTCTATTATAACAGACGCAGACACCACACATCCTAGTCTTCGCACCCTTGTCTTTTCGACAGGCATCTCGTCCTCCTTGATGCGACAGCAGCTCGAGACTCCCCTACTACAATCTCTTGGCCTAATCCGCGATACTTTTGCTCGTATGGGAATTCGCAAACAAACAAATCTTCTTTATCGTCAGTCAAACTATAACTTGCTACGAGAAGAATCGGAAGGATACTCTAAGCTGTTAACCGAATTGTTTACGACAAGCAACAATGAACCCCCTTCGGCCGAAGTTGTTGAAGATACTTTTGAAAGGGTCAAAGCTATGATTGGAGCGTTTGACATGGATGTTGGAAGGGCTCTCGATGTCACGCTAGATGTGTTCGCCGCAGTTCTCGTGAAACAATATCGATTCTTTGTCAAGTTCCTACGCGTCAGCTCGTGGTGGCCGAAGGACGAAAATTTCCTTCGCCGGTATTGCGGGATCGCGGAGTCCGGTTTACCTAAATGGGCGCTACCTGGCTCTGCTGGCTGGTCTACAACAGAAGAGGACCGGGAAGAGGCTCTTCGTATGAACGAAAATCGAGATCGAGTCTTATGGGATAGAGCTAGGGAAGTTGGCATCCGTGCGTTCTTCGAAATAGGTCGGAACCAGTCATTAGACTCAGACCAATTAAGATCCATATCCGACCTCGGAAATATCGTCCCGGATGACGATAAAGAGACTCGGGAGTGGATAGAGCGGACGGGGACGCTACCACCGAAGGGAAATAGGGTTGCAGCGCAACTTTTGGGATTCAAGCTACGGTTTTACTCTTCCAATGCTCGAAATCCGTCTGACATTCTACCGGACAATCTCATCTATCTAGCTGCTTTGCTCATAAAAGTTGGTTTTATATCTTTACGAGACCTCTACCCCCACCTTTGGCGACCTGACGAGTCTATGGACGAGCTGAAGGAGGAGAAAATGAAAGAAAAGGAGCAAAGAGAACTGGCAGCTAGACCTGGTGCTGGAACAATGAACGCTTTGATGATGGCTGGTGCCCTAACCGACGACACTATACCTGTACCACTTCCTAGACCTCGAGAAGCTGACACGCGCGCAGCAACCCCTGCCAAGGACCAGGACGCGGACAAGTCGGCCCAACCAAAAATCGAAGAGAACAAAGAAGCACTACCGGAACCAACTGACCAAAAAGTACTACTATTAAAAAGTCTGCTTGCTATTGGCGCCTTACCAGAATCTCTTTACATCCTTGGTCGATTTCCCTGGTTATTAGATGCATATCCCGAGCTCCTGGAATATATCCACCGTATAATACACTACTCTTTGAGCAGACTTTGCGGTTTATCGCGGCCAATGTCGTCAAGGAATGACATTAATGATCAGAAGAAGATCACTAGTTCAGACCAAGCAAGCCTTCCGAAGGGAAATATCCGTTTGGCGGATCCCCCGCCCCGACGCGTCCTTCGCTGGGCGTTGCTGGATAAAGAAGATACCAACGATGGAACCGACTATCGATTTTATTGGGATGATTGGACTGATAATATACCCATGTGCCAGACAGTGGATGATGTATTCGCTCTCTGTGAATCATTTTTGAATCTCTCCGGGGTTAAAGTCGGACAAGATCCTAGCCTATTGACGAAATTGGCTAGGCTTGGGAATGAAAGTCTACTTAGCGATCCGTCGGACTCAAACCGAACGCGATGGCGAGATCTTTGCAAGCGTCTCTTGGTCCCGGCTTTGAGTTTAACCAAAGCAAACCCTGGTGTTGTGAACGAAGTTTTTGCGCTCTTAAGACATTTCTCGCGAGATGTGAGGTATTCCATCTATGCTGAATGGTACTCTGGCCAAACTTCGCGACTTCCCGATATCAAAACTGCGTTCGATCAAGCGCGAGCAGAAACGAAGGATGCCCTTAAAAGACTAAGCAAAACCAACATCAAGCCGATGGCTAGAACCTTAGCCAAAATCGCGTACGCTAATCCGGGAATCGTTATCAGCGTTGCTATAAACCAGATCGAAGCATATGAGAACTTGATTGAAGTTGTGGTAGAATGTGCCAGATATTTCACGTACCTAGGATACGACATCCTAACCTGGTTACTAATCAACTCTCTTGGGCAGAAGGGAAGGAGTAGGGTTCAAGAAGGAGGGCTTCTGACTAGCAGATGGCTCAATGCGCTTGCATCCTTTGTCGGTAGGGTATTCAAAAGATATTCTACCATCATGGACCCCGTTCCTGTCCTTCAATATGTTGGGGAGCAGCTTCGGCAAAACAACTCCACCGATCTCGTTATTCTAGAACAACTCATAAGTTCAATGGCGGGAATCGTGACCGACACAAACTTCAACGACTCTCAAATTCAAGCAATGGCCGGCGGCGAACTGCTACAGTCTCAGACCATGTTACAGCTTCTCGATAAGCGCCACGAATCAAAGATAACCTCCCGACGACTTATGAAGTCTTTGGCAGATTCCAAACTTGCGGGACAGCTTCTCATATCTATTGCGCAGGAACGGGCCACCTGTATATTCAAGGAATCAGAGGCTGATGACGAACTTAAGCTCCTTGGTAATATCTTTGACGAAATCCACCGGGTTTTGACTCAATATATCGACCTCCTTCGGAGCAATTTTACAGTTGAGGAATTTGACGCGTTCGTGCCGGACGTTGCAAGTCTCATTGGTGACTTTGGATTGCAGCCTGAGGTCGCGTTCTGGATTACCCGCCCTAGTGTTGCACATCAGATTGCGGAAGTCGATGCAAAGAAGCGGGAAGAGGCCGCGAAGAAGGCGGGAAGCGAATCTATTACTCCTGCCGTTGCGCCGTTGAAGACTCCCGATGGCGATGTGACAATGGTGGATGAGGGTGAAGCTGTCGAGAAGAAAGATTCATCCGAAGATGTGGTCATGGCTACTGAAAAACCTGCCCCTACTTCGAATGATACCCAGAGTGAGGCGCCGTCGAACACGCCCAATACGCCCCTCGCCGCTCAGCCGACCCCTGAAAATGTACCATGGCATCCTGTACTTGAAGGGCTGATGGAGAAAATCAAAACCACAATGCCGCGAAGTACGTGGGAAGTTGTTGGCCTTCCGTTCTTTGTCACATTTTGGCAGCTATCACTGTATGATATTCATGTTCCGCAACGGGCTTACGAAGAGGAACTGGAACGTCTCAAGAAGCGGATCCAGGCTATCTCCCAAGACCGGACTGATGTTAGTGTGGCTGGTACTTTGAAAAAAGATAAGGAAAAAAAGCAGATTAACGACCTCCACGATCGAATTCTAGCAGAAAACAAGGCACATCTTAAGTACTATGGTTTAACTCGTGCACGTTTACAGAAGGAGAAGGACCGCTGGTTTGTTGGATTGAGAGGGAAACATGAGGCCCTTAACATCGCGGTCATGGAACAGTGTCTATTGCCTCGATTGCTTCTCTCCCCTATTGACGCTTTCTACAGTTTCAAGATGCTCAAGTATCTGCATTCGTCCGGGACACCCAATTTTCGAACGGTGGGATTCCTTGACCAACTGTTCCGTGAACAGCGGTTGACTGCAATCATTTTCCACTGTACATCTAAGGAAGCTGACAATTTTGGTCGTTTCCTCAATGAGGTACTACGTGATTTAATGAGGTGGCATGCCGACAAGGCTGTCTACGAGAAGGAAGCGTATGGGACTAAAAGGGATCTCCCAGGCTTCGCCATGGCTGTGGACCAAGAGGGGAAGCCAAAGTCATTTTTGGATTATGAGAATTTCCGCCGAATTCTGTACAAGTGGCACCGCATTTTTGGCGCTTGCTTGAAGACGTGTCTTTCAGGAGGCGAGTATATGCATATTCGCAATGCCATCAGCGTACTGAAGGCTGTGGTTCAACATTTCCCTGCTGTTAACTGGATTGGCCGAGACATGCACACCTGCGTCAACAACCTCAAGACATTGGATCCACGCGACGATGTCAAAATTCCAGCCGCCTCGTTGATTGGGGATCTGAATAGAAGGGAAAAGAAGTGGTTACTTCCACAAGCGTTCATGATTGTGAGTCTACCTGCTGGCATTATGGAAGGTGGAGCTAATTCGCCAAAGAACGAACCGTTACCCGGTGACAAGGCCAAAGCACGCACACCGCAGCCCCGGCCAACTACTCCCAAACCTTTGAATGCCTCTGCCCCTGACTTCAAACCACAGGGGACGTCAACCACGTGAGTCGATACAAACCTTGCCCCCCTCCGACGAAATGGGACTTTTTTCTGATTGTACTTAGGGTAAATGGTGCGCGGCCTCAAGGGCCTGGAAAAGAAGTTGAAGATGGTGAAATCCAAGACGCGAAGACGTCGGACGCGAATATGAGTGATGCAGCCACGAAACCAGAAGCTGTGAAAGGCGACACCCTACCCCAACAAGTACCTAGTGCCTCTGGCACTAGAGAACCGACCGCTCCGGGCAAACCGGACCGAGTGGAACAGAGCGAAATTCCTGTCACGACACAAGAAGACCAGCCAGCAAAAGCAGCAAGGCCTGTGGAAGCTCCAACAAGAGCATCCTCACAACCACCTTCGCAGCCCCCCGTGACCACCCTAACCCCCCAAGCAGATGCACAATCCCTTGCTCCAGGTCGTGGCTCTTCTCCCGCTCCGCCACGAGTAGTTGGTAAGCCACCTTCGGAAGCTTCCCATCCGGCAGGCATCCCAAAACGCCCAGATGTCGATCGATACCCTCCTCAGCCTAGCCCTCCTGTCCGTGTTCAACCCAACCTCCCTAATCGACCGGAACCTCCTCGACCCTTTAAGCATTCTGATGACCGTACGCCTATGAGACCACCCGGCATGCCCGAGGAACGAAGAGATGCGCGGGACAACAGACATCCGGATCGCATTGGGCGATTTGGTGGACAAGATCGTGAGAGACCATTTGAGCATCCTTTCTCTACCGAACTTCGAGGCCACACCCGGCCAAACGACAGGCTTGGGGACCGGGATAGGCTTGAAGGCCCTCGGATGGATAAAGACTTTCCTGCACGCCCTCCCGAAGATCACCTTGGACGTCCAAGCTACAGAGATGCACGCCCTTCGCCGAGAGATCAGGAATGGTCTGAAAGGATGAGCAGGGGAAGGATGTCTCAAGCGGATGCCTTCCAATCCCGGCAAGAACCGGACCGGCCTTTCAGAGATGGCGATATACATCCATATCGACAGTCCAGTGTTCCTGAATCTCACGATCGTGACCATCCTCTCCGCCTATCTTACCCCGAAACCCCGTCACACCAGCGTCACGAACATCCAAGACCTGAACGGGATGATAGAAGAAGCCGTGGCTCTCGCCCCCCTAGCCCTACCAAAGGAGATGATTCCCGGCCTCCCAACAGACCCGATAGGCGAAATGAGCGCGAAGAGAGGAAACCTGCAACTTTTAATTCTCACCCACCACGCTCAGAGGATCTCCCGACTGGGCCAAGAGGAGACAGAGCCACTCATCCTACGGCAGGCGATAACCGTCATGGCCAAGAGTCGCGATCAACGTACCCGCCATCGACAACAGAACCGTCATATGGAAGGTTGAATCAAGATTCAAGATTCCCCTCGCGCCCGCAGGAGCCGTTTGAGAGGGCTCAGGATATCCCGTCAGGCCCTAGGAGAACTGCCTCTCAACGTGGTGGGAGAAATCCGCCTCTATCGCAACCACTTCCGATTCCACCACAACCATCAGACCGCCAGCCACCTACAGGACCATCAAACCGGCTATCCACACGGAATCCAACCCACCAGGACCAGCAGCCCGCGGTCACCGCGCCTTCTGCGCCTGTTCCGCTGGACAAAATTGATACATCCGGTATTCATCCTGACCGCTTAAAAGCGCTTCAAACTCCCGGAGATGATGGAACTCAATCATCTTCACCTACCTCAGCTTTACCACCGTCTGGCCCACGGAGTGGTGGCTATCCACCTTCTGGCCATTCGCCAACTACTCGAGGACCCCCTGGATCTACATTTTCAGGGGAGAGGGGCCGGGGAGATAAACGATTTGCAGGCCTGAACAATATGCTTCAGCAGTTTGGCGGTCCAGCAGATAAAGCTGGGATGGGCACTTCGATAAGAGGAAGGGGTGCGAATCGCGCCGGTAGCAATTCACTCAACGCTCCGTCGCCTCAATCCACCCGACCGCATACTCCTGTTGGCGGGAAGGCTGACACTTATTCTGGTTCTGCGCCCCCATCAGGAACAGAAAGGCCGGAGCTTTTCCCTGGTCGCTCTGATGCCGCACCACCACCTCCACAAGACGAACCTCGTGGACCTGGTAGAGCTGGTCGGAGAAGTGAAATTATAGAGGAGGCCCCCCGCCACTCTAGCGGTACTCGCACTCCAGATCGGGAGAGGGATCGTGAACGCGACCGTGAGAGAGAACGCGAGAGAGAAAGGGAACGGGAACACCGAGATCGGGACCGGGAGCGCGATGCCACTCGTCGAGGCGAAGAGGACAGCGTAAGACCAAGCACGAAACGGGACGAGTATCGAGAACGCGATCGAGGTCGTGCAACAGAAACCAGCAGCCGGGACCAGGCTCGCGGTTCACGAGAATCTTCATCACGAAGAGGCGCACAGAGCTCGAGCGCAAACAGAGAGCCAGTCTCCGCTAGCAGGCGGAGAGACAAGCGAGAACGTGACTCAGGTACCCAAGAGAGCCAAAGCCGTGGCGGTAAACCTGACATAACCCCGCAACCTCCTCCACCTCCTCCGCCTCCTCCACCACCACCACCAAACGATCCGGAAGGCCGGAGATGGAGTAGTGGTGGTCGAGGTGACGATCGCAACAGAGATCGTGAGCGAGACCGGGACCGGGACCGCGATCGCGATCGCGAGCGTGAACGGGATCGAGAGCGCCGAGACGCTGGTAGCGGACGTGGAGGCAATGGTGGTGCTGGTGGCACAGGCGGCAGCGGCAACGGGGGAGGCACTTGGCCCCGGAAACGTGGAAGACCCACTGGTGCCAACGTGGATGACCGACCTAACGTTGCCCCCTCCGCTAGGAACGGAGGTGAAAATAAGAGGCCCAGGCGTGGGCATTGATCGCTTTTTGATTATTTTTCCTAAAAGTGTCTTAACGGTATTACTTCGCTACAGACCAGTTTTCTCTTCTCTTTTCTATCCATTCCTTTGTGCCATTTTATTGCTCTTTCCTTTGTGACATTTTGCAGCTCCATAATCATGATGGGAATCATTTAAGATCATTTTCTTTTTTTCACTCAGAAGACACATTAGGCGGTATTAGAATGGGATGTATGAACATTAGGTATGAACATTAGCCAAAAAAACCTTTTGTTGTCGTTTCGCTTGTTGGGTCTGAGTTTGTTTGGCGCCCCTTTTTTGTCCCTCTATTTCTCCTGTAACCGTCATATTTAGGGTTATATATCAAGCATGTCAACCCATTCCTACCAGCTCCTAGTTAATCTAAAATAAATACATCTTCGCTCGCTTTCCATATTTATTATTTATTCCCCTCCCTTCGCCCGCTTGTGGTATTAATATATATCATATTTCGCAATACTTCGGGTTGATGAGTTACCCACCCGCCGCGCAGCTCCTCGCAACACTTTTTTACCATGACTCAGCTCCCCTTTAAAGGATTTGATAGCGCGGTATATAACTAGTTCTCCTATTCTAGAACGAATGAATGGCTTCGACATGGCCCAGGTTAAGGCTAGCACACAGATTACAAGCAACATAAGAATTCTCCATACAAAAACGTACAGTACATCCCTGTGCAAACTTAGTGGCGAAAGCCATACCTACACGAATTAAAACCCTGCCTGATACGAGAATGAAAAGTGACTTTAATTTTATAACTATGTTGAGCTAGTTAATTTATCTAAGCATTGGTTCATTCGATTCTTCAGGAAGATTGCGAAAGGAGACGCGATTTACTATTATGATTGAGAGATAGTTGAGCTTATATCAGTGGAGGTTATCCGATTGGATGAACCGATGGACACGGAAATTAATAATTAAGGCAGTGCTCCGCCCAACCTTGACAGAAAGAAGTTAAAGTAAATAAATAAATAAATCAATGAAATAAAATAAAAAATCCTAGCATATATATACAATCATGAAAAGGAAAGAAATGAAAGGAAATTGCCACCAAAGGACGAAATGGCGTTTCTTGCCCCGAAAATATGAATATGAAAACATCAATAAGGAGCAAGATCAAATGTAGGGGAGGAGGGTTATACAATGGGTGCGGTAAAAAAAAAATTTAAATAAATAAAATGAATAAATAAAAAATAAATAAAAATAAAAAATAAAAAATAAAAGAAGAGAAAAAAAAATAAAAGAGAAATAGGATAACATCTTGTCAAAGTCATAGCGGGAAATGGTGGTGGTATGTAGCCTGGTCTGTATGTTCCGAGGGAAAACGGGATAAGAGGAAATGAAACGATAAATCAAAAGGAAAGAGGGGGAAAAAAATAGTTACAGTAGACAAAATCTTCCCGCATTTATCGTAACGTCGTCTAGATCAAATAGACACACAGGAAACGCCTTCAACTACCTCTAGTAACTACCTCGCCTCCACGATAGCACTGAAGCCAAGAACATTGTTGATCTTTGCAACGGACTTCTTTTTCCCAAGGGTCAGCAGCGACAACTTCCGCACAAGTGTATTTTTCGTCTGCTCGTCCAACTTGTTGGCATCTACAGGTTTGCTGGTGGCGGATTGTTCCTTGGCGTTAGCCATATTCCAAGCAGGCGAAGTTGGTGGGGTTGGTTGGATTGGCGGAGGAGGATTTGAGTGAATGGCCGCCGTAGCTCTATTTGTGTCTGGGGATGTTGGGACACTGAAGCCGCCTGACATTTTTTCCATAACAGCCCGCTGGAGCCCTAAACGGCGCTGCTGTTCCTCAACCGGGGTCAACACTTTTTCCAGCCCGTTTGCGTCGATTATTGTCTTGCCGGTCGTGGAGCGTGAGGTCCATGATTGTGCATAAGAAAGAGGGCTTATTGATAGATCCCTTTCGGTCGAATCATCGAGCATTGGAGATAAATTGGTGTTGATTTTGAATATTGGTTTCGCGGGGGTTTTTTCTGTTTGACATTTGAGGTCGGTATGCAGTGGGTTATTATTTTCCAATGCCGGACTAGCAGGTCCGTCGGATCCTCCCAGTTGAGAGTTGATCTCTATCTGCTGTTGGTGAGGTGATATATTCCGTTCTCTTGAGGAAGACGTAGCATGAGATTCTCGATTGACAAATTGAGGTAGAATTGAATGTAGCCCCGCATCTATTTGCTCCATCTCAGCTGTCGTGCATTCCTGGATCGTCCAAATATCCGTAGCGAAGCCATTTGTAGAGGACATACCATATGGAGGTTTCGCGCTTCTCAAATCCTTCCAATCTTCTTCCAGCGAGTTGATGAAAGTTTCGGGTAAGGGGTTGTGTTCCCTGGTGAAATGACTAGGGAATTTTAGCTCGTCTATTGACGAGGATATCTTACCAACCTCTTCTACAACAAGTGGCGCCGTTGATTGCTCTAGTTCGAAGGCATCCACGAAGTAGTCATGGGTCAATACTTGCTTCTCTTTTAGGTCCAAACACACCTTGTCCTCCGGATCTAAGGCGCCACTTTCATGCTCATTCGACAAATGGTCCGAACCAGAAGCAGGATCATCGTTTACGGCTGAAGCGATATGATCTGGGATGGTAAATGATGAGATCTTCAAGTCCGGGAAGTGAGAACCTGTAGGACTAACATCCATCTGGTCCGCGCATGTATCATCAAATTCAGTCCATCTGTCTGGGAATTCAATTTTCTGGGAAAGAAACAGGCATGCATTCTGTAACTGTGTTTCTGCCGCAAGGGATAAACATTGTCGATCGGTTAAGGGAGACCGCGGTCTTGAGCTGGCAACCGCATTGTCGATGTCGTAATACTTGGTTTTATCCTCGACATTCTCGCGGGGTCTGTGAGGCGCTCGCTTCTACGGTACGATATGTCAATACGGGGTGTTTGTAAAAGTGAAAGGATATATCTATCGTAGGTCGAGCGAGCGCGAAAAAAGGGAAAATGAAAAGGAAAAACGTACAGGGCTAATCAAAGTGGAAAGTCGTCGTATCATGATGAAATGCGCCCAGGAGGCCGGGCAATAAAGTCTGATATGAGGACAGTAGAGTAGTCTGCCGAGGTCGAAGAGGCTCACCAACACGACAGAGACCTTAGTAGCGGCCAATTATTTTGTTTTGCGGATATGGCTCAACGGAATCTTTGGTCATGTATAAAAGTACAATGAGAGAGTTGAAGGGACATATATCTTGATTTCACCAAATCACCCCGACCCGACGAGTCCTTTGGACAGAAACCGAGACAGAGAATCGCAGACGTCAGAGAGGGTAGTTAACCTGTTCAGTCACATATTGGTACGATCCGGCACATGGTCATACCGTCCAGAACGTACTTTTGCAGGTTTGATAGAAACTTGATAGAAACTTGATGAAACTTGATCGCACATGAGGATGAAACTTGGAGTAGGAGGGAGAGCTTCGCAGCAAGAGAGCAAGAGACAAGGTGGCGGATGGCGGGTGGCTTATTAAAGGGTCGGTCACCCTCCGGCACATCTGTCGGGGGAGGGGAGAGACGGTGTAACCAATAAAATAGTAGTGCTGGGATTTACACTCCCCTTTGATCACCAAGGGTTGATGGAAGGGTTGGTTAAATGAAGCTAGCTAGCCAAGGCAAAGTGTGAGTTATTGGCTCAGCGTGGGTTTTCACTGGATGGAGGTCAACCTTCTCGCAAGGTGGGATGTTGAGTTTAACCCTGTAATTGCCTTTCACCAATTAATATGGAAAAAAATAATGGGAATCTTATGTATAAGCAGAAATTTAAACTTATCATCATCTATCTGCTGTAGCTGTGACGTGCGTCTATCAAAAAGAGGGGGTTGTGTGTATAAATTGCTGGATGTTTTTCCTGTGATAGTTATTAATCTTGTTTCTACCGTGAGGCCCCATCGTTAATATCATTCTTGCCTGCAACTGGCAAGGCTCGGGTGGGGTCGGTCTGACTGTTGCAATACGCAGTAAAGCCTTAGCCCATTCCGAAGATATAGCGCTCATCCTGCAAGGACGGACGGGAAAATAGCGTAGAGCATCAACTGTGAAGTCTGTGACTGTGACTAGTGAGATTCATCCGGGCTGGGCTCAACGCGCAAACCAACCCCCACATCGGCTGCCACTTCGCAGATTCGCAGGATGTCAGGATGCTCGAACCAACAGGGAATATTTCGCGCAATAACTCTGGACTGTTCATGCCGCCCAATCAACTGCTTCGAAAACAACACCAAAGAAACACCTCTTCAAAAGTAGACTTGGTCATCTGACATCACGAACGATGAACTCTCCGGGTTTGGGGGGAAATAATGCTGTGAATCCCATATCCCATCCCATAACATCATCATGGTTATCTGCCTACTCTGAACAAGAGAAATCAGTATTCGGAGCCTGCGCCTTGTAAAATCAACAACCTACATGTTTAGTATTTCTCATGTAGAAAAACCACACGATCACTTACCTCCCTTAGTATGCTCTTTAAGAGCACTCACTTGAGATGAAGATGGGATTTGGCCCCCCCTCAGTTATCGACAGGAAACGCTTCACGCTCAGGGCCAGCCACTAGCAAGTTGCAACCAGTGATAACGATAAATGAGCAATGCCGACAGCTCTAACTCCACGGCTAGCTAGGTTACGAGAGTCCAGCTCCCGAGACAGGCTGCTCCAGCTTCCAGGTTCAACCAGATATTCTCCGTCAAACCGGCTCATTAATTATTATTATTGTCCAGCGGCGCATGCCCGCTCGTCCCCCCGCATTGTGCTGACAGATGGCCTGGATGCCGCTACTACCTGCGGGCGGTGAAAGTACGTACCAACACCCACAGGCGGAAAATCATGGCTTGGAGGCTTGGAGGGGATTTGGGAATGGACTGGGTGGTGTTTTGTGGGGGAGAGAGTTTGTTTTCACTGCTCAGCGGCTTTGCGACAACTGAGACAGAACATCCACCGAAAGCTAGCAAATTCTAACCTCTTTTTTTTTTTTTTTTTTCCCTTTATCTCCGCGTTTGCGGCAGAATAGCAGCTCCAGACCCAAACAGCGTGCTATTTGCTCTCTCAGGGCTTCAACGGAAATGTCGCCTACTCAACCTAGATTTGGGGTGGACATGCACCTCACACCCGACGCCCTCAGCCGTGGAATATTGCCATTGTGAGCTGCACACGAAACTTACAGTATATAATACATAGAGCGGGGAGCTCCATTTTCAGCATTTTGATATCTAAAAGTAGGCGGATCTAGCTAAGCTACGGTCCACTCCTATTTTTCTTGACAAAGATATCGCTCGGGGTCATGGTCTTGCATAGTCGGGCCGATCACAAACGCGACCAACCATATTAGATCTCATGGCTTCATCAAAACAGATAGATAACAATCTGAGATAGATAGCTTTTCGGCAGATTTAGCTTTCCAGCATAGGCTTCGCGAATGTTGTTCTGATACAGGTATGATAGATATTGCAACGCCAAGTAGGGAAAGGAGTGCATTCTTCGGATACATTGTTCAATCCAGCCGTATCTTATTATAAGCACAGGCTGTATGGGATAGCTCATTTATTCAAAACCATCTTCTACCTATCCCCATAATGCCAGCCAGGATTAGCAAGATCTGCTCTCACCCCATACGCCTTCTCAGCAATTTCCACAGCATTCATATCAACCTCCACAATCCGCATCCCAGCCTCAGGACCTGCAAAGCTACCCGGAACAACACCAAGTAATGGCAGCGCCACTTGGCTCAAACCTATATAGCCCTCTTCAGCCGGACCCCCGGCATTGCAAAATATGATGGCGCAGGTATTTTCAAACGCCCGCGAAACTAAAGCTGCTTTGAGGAACGTAGATTCAGTATCTTCGCTATATTTCCGTGCTTCGAGGGGCATGTCCGTGCTCAACCAGAAGCTGGGAATGATGATCATCCGTGCTCCCTGCCGGATCAGAGCACGGAATGCTTCCGGGAATGCTAGATCCCAACATGTCAAAATCCCCACTGGGCCCAAGGGTGTTTGGATGACACTGTGGCGGCTGCTGCTGCTGTTGTGCGGCTCACGAGCTGCTGGCCTCGTGCCAGTTGTAGTGTGAGGTCCGGCAGGGGGGGAGACGGGGGGATGGGCGGTCAGATATTCGCGCTCTGGCAGCCATAGGTTTGTCTTCGTATATAACCCCAGCAATTCGCCGGTGTGAGATATGAAAGGCGCAACGTTGAATAGTAACGGGCCGCTCGCGCTCCCTCCTTCCGGGGCAGCGAAGTCATCTACATAAGGTTTCGGTATTTCCTGTGCCTCTTTTGGGTGAGAGGTTGAGTTTGGGTCTGTCGTGACGATTGTTCCAGGGACAATGTTGATGCTCAACTCTTTTGCAACCACCTGGTATTTAAGGATGTAATCCCACGCTTTTGAAGCAAGGGGGGCAAACTTGGGATCATCGGGCACCCAGCTGGTTAGGTGGTACTCTGGCAAGACAACAAGAGAGGCGCCTTGAGATGCTGCATCTTGGATATGAGCGACTGCCACGCTGAAATTATATGCTGGGTCGAGGGGCTAAATATGGAAAATGCTGGTAAGTATATGTTTTGCCAGTTGTAAGAATGGGAACTGGTTAAACTTGATTATCCGTTCATCCGCTCATTACCTTGGGGTACATTTGAACCAAGCCCACCCTGAAATATGTTTGTTCGGACGTCATGGCTAGCCGCACATAATAGTATCTACTACGTTATTTGGATGTTTAAAATTTGACAGTTAGGAGTTCGAATGTGCTGTCTGCGTCTTTCTTCCGCCGTGGAGGTCGTTTATCTCAGCCAGGCCACAAATTTTGCACGAAACCTGATTGTTCAGGAAAGGTTGCTGGAAGTTTGGTAAAATATAAGTTTGGTAAAATATGAACTCCACAGACTTAAAAGAGCCCTTCCTACCTCAAGTAAGAACAATTAAGTATGATTCTTCAACATACACAGGCATAGACTATAGATAGGGCTTTCCCAACTAATGCGGCATTACACTCCTATAGAGGCTGATCATGATCAAAAATCTATAAATTCGGAATATCTACTCTAGTAATCACTGAATAACTTAAATGAAAATATATGACTTGAAGAAAGACAGGTACATACCTACACAGAGACACCGTCTATGGTGGGCAAGTTTCGAAACATGGGACGATCTCAGCTGTAGCGCATGGATGGCCCAGATTAAATTCTTCTAGAACTGAATTGATAGTGTCATTTCGGAAATGATAACTAATTGAATAGAGTCACCCCTCAACTGCCACCTACTGTGTATATTTGTTGTTCGGAATATCTGGCTATGTCATGTCCTAATTTTACATAGTAAATGGAAGAAGAACTACCATGCCTACACCGCCCGCCGCATGGCATCCGGAGATAATATCTAGGACAGCGGGGAAAAAAAAGGAAATTTGCCGCTGGGTTAAAACAAAAAAAAAAAAAAAAAAAAAAAAAAAGGAAAAGAAAATCCTTCAAGATCTCTTTATACTTGACTTGGCTGATCTCATGTGTAAATAAGCTAACTATATTTCTGCATCTCATATCTCATTGAGGTTTCACATTTTTCCATTCAGATCAAATGTAGCTTGCTTGCAGCAGCTGACGCGGGAGCAGTTCTATTGTTCCTATAATAGCTTTAAACGTTTTGTTTGGAATAACTTTGTTCTTTATTTGCCGCTTCCATGTTGCCAGGGAAAACCTACTTCTAGTAACCTTGATGCTTTGCCCGTCAATTAATTTTCGCCCGGTTTGCCGACCCGTAGAATATTCTATGACGCGAGGTGCAACGACCTCATTTGCTCTTCATTTATTTTGGGTTGGGTCTTGCTGGTCGGGAACCGAATATAAGGGAATATAACTCACGAAGGTATTGGAATGATTAGATATTTCTCGTTCGGGAGTAATTTTCCTCAGCATGCATATTCTCCTTACCTTCTATTATAACTTGAAAAGTCGAGTTCCTATAGACGAAGACGATCAGCTCTCCTACCAAGCGATATTTCCCTATCTCCGGAAGAGGAAGCGTTGATAGTTGGTCGGACAGGGCGAGAGCTCATACCACTGCCAAAATGTACTGAAGCCGAGTTTTGGCTTTCACCGGAGCTTAGCGACGAGGAAAAAGAACAAGGCGAAAAGTAGCAAGATGTAGGAACCTGAGAGCGTCATAAAGGAACGAAATGGCCCGAAGACCTGGACTGATTCCTACCGAAATCGCGAAAGAATCCAGGAAAAGCCGCCGTCAAGAGCCAACAAATCGACCTTGCGGTTTGGAGTCCAAGTAGCGGAGAAGCAACAGGCTCCAATTCGTCCAACACGATCCCAGTAAAACCGAAACCGGCCACGATGCCAATGGAATTGCCAAGCAACCGAAACCGTCCGTATTTGAACAAATCAATCAACTGCCTGCCTCCCCGCTTCCAGCGTTCATCCTCCTGAATCAGTATGATTGCTGGGCTGGGTTGCGCTTTCAAGACCAACGGAACCATTTTCCCTTTGAGCGTCTCTGTCAACTCTGTGATAGCACAGTCTCATGAAACGTCATCATCGTGAACTTTCTTTGGCTCGCGATTATGATTTGCTTCTTTGTTTTTCAATTGAGCGAATAATGATGAGCGCCGGCACTTTTCCGAAAAAGTTTATGGAGTCCCTTCCTAGAGCCTAGATCCAATCAAATATCCTGTAATATACGAAGCATGAATGAAATTCTTTCTTTTATCCTGGTTTGGTTCCTGGCGTTGTCGTTAAACGGACGTGGCTGTCGCATCAAAGTGACATGGCTGGACATATGCCGCTATTCCTAAATTAGTCCTAGCGTCACGTCTGTGTTGATTACGTCATCATTTAATTCTCGCTTGGCCTCTTCAAGTAAATTTCTCCGACCTTAACATTCATCTTGCCATCGTCACCAAAGCAAACTTATCGCTGCAACACGCGCTGCATGCCCAACAGTCACCAGCCATGACCCGTTGACTGTTCACTGTTCCACGTATTAATATGCGAAACATTTATATACCTTTACTTCTACGCAATTTCCACATCGCCTCCCTTTCGCTACTCCTCGCAATGACTGAATATTCAAGCTGGAAGGTTACCGATTTGAAGGCCGAGCTGAAACGACGCGGCATTCCCCAGACTGGTCTTAGGGTCAAGCAGAACTTCATCGATCGATTACTCCAGTCAGATGCTGCGGCGCAACCTGAACCTTCACCGGAAGTTCCCCCACCAAGCAATGCACCTGAAGAACAGGCCCCGGAAGAACCTGAACAGGCAAGCCAAGAAGATGTGAGCGCTGGCGACCAACAGCCGCCTGGTGCGCCAGAACCGAAACATGGCGCTGTTGAATCTGAATCGAAAGAACTACCTGCCGCAAAGTTACCGAAACCGCCGTCGCAGGATTCGACTGATGATGTCATTATGAAAGATAAGGAGGACGCAGAAGCCGATCAAGCTGTGGCGACTACTCGAGACTTGTCCGCCGAAGCGAAGGAGCAAACTCAGGAACCCAAGATAGAAGAGTCGGTACAGTCGCAGGAGGCTATAGAGGAACCAGCCCCATCTGCCCCCTCTGTTCCTCAAGAACTGGAATCAGCATCCGTATCCCCCGACGATGAGAGAATCGCGTCGAGAGAGGAGTCCACAGATGACTCCAGAAAAAGAAAACGGCGAAGCCAGAGCCCACCACCCTCTCCTAAAACAGCGGCTTTGAAGAAGGCTAAAGCTGAGGATGGGCTTCCGCGTGTGGTATTGAAGGAGGACGATGTCACAGCTGATATGGGTGTTCCCTCGGAGGAGATTTTAGCAGCACCAGTTCCCGGTGTTCCTGCACCTCAAGACGCCGAAATGCAAGATACGACCCTAGAAAAGACTGAAGAAGGGCCCCGGGAGATGGAACCGGAACCGGAACCAACACTCCAACCCAAACCTACGGTCGTCCTGGAGGCAAGCGAGGAAGATAATAAGGCTGCTGACCTCCATTCGGCACCCCAGGCTAAACCAGAAGTCGAGAAGCCCGAAGAGCTACACACCCACAAGCACACCTCCGGCGATACACGCTTCAAAAGCTTGTTCCCGCTGGCAAATGGTGGCCGGGCACTCTCCCCTTCTCCTACGGGCTTGGCAGGTGAGGAGGCAGATCGCATCGTCTCACCAGCCATTCACCCGGCAACCACATCCCTGTATATACGCAATTTCATGCGACCTCTACAACCAACCAGCCTTAAAAAGCACCTTGCAACCCTTGCAACCCCACCCTCGTCATCTGTGGATCCTGATATAATCCTAGCTTTCTTTTTGGATTCCATTAAAACACATTCTTTTGTTACTTTTACAAATGTTTCCGCAGCCTCTAGGGTACGTTCGGCACTCCACGGAACTATTTGGCCAGACGAGCGAACGCGAAAACCGCTCTGGGTCGATTTCATCCCGGAAGAGAAAGTCAAAGAATGGATCACCGTTGAGCAAGATTCCGGTAATGGCGCGAGAGGTGCGCCACGGTGGGAGGTGATCTATGATGAGACCGATGAAGGGGTTACAGCTTCCCTTCAGGAAGCCAGTCCCATAAACCAAATCCCTTCCCGCAACAATCGCGATAACGATCAAAACCTAGGTCGAGAGCCGCCGTTGGGTCCCCGTGCAACGCACGGTCCTATGCATCGAGACAGCCACCATATTGCACCACCTGTTGCACCTGCACGATACGCCGGTGAAAGCTTCAAGGCCCTTGATGACAGATTTCTCTCCACAGCCGCGAAGCCGAAACTCTACTATCAACCTGTTCCGCCAGAGGTATCGGATAAGCGCCTTGATCGATTTGCCGACCTCTACCGCGCTGGACCTACGCCTCGACGAGGAGGCGATGAGATGCGCAAATACACCTTCGAAGATACGGATTATTTCGTGGACAAGGGTCCGGAATATGGAAACCGTGGGCGCCGGAGAGGTGGTAGAGGTGCCCGGTTCAGAGACCGTGGAGACTTTGGAGATAGTTGGAGGCGGTAGATGGGTGATTGGCCGCAAGTGAAGGAAAGAATTTTTGACCAAAAATAATGGATCAGTGCGCGCCCGTTTGACCATTTATTTTCCCATCTAGGCTCTAGCGCGTTTTCATTCGTGAGATGCTCACTCCCTGCGGAATATCGTGGTTGATTTTCCCTCTATTCCACTTCCCCCAAAGTTGTTATCTATGTTCCCTCCGTCTCTTTCGACCGCAACTAGATATGGATTGGCTTGGATCATGGCTATAGGAAGGAGCATTGGTAATTTGTTTTTTTATTTTCCCTTTCCGTAATATTTTTGCCATGCATAAAAAGGGACATTCATTCTAACATATTCTGTCACCCCACACTTGTATGAGGCACTTCTACTTCCTTTTGTATATTATTCTCTCTCTCTCTCTTTTTTTTTAATTTTTTTTAATGTGGCCCGTGATCTTGATTCCTTTGCCTCATTTTTGATCCTTCCGACCATCCTTCAAGCTGGCGAGATTCAGAGATTCACCATGGGAAAATGAAAAAATTCAGTAGGCAGGAATGCGGATTTTCTTTTCTTTCTATTTGTCTGTGTACCGTGGCGTTTGGTTTTGCGTCTTTTTCCTCCTTTCCTTCATAAGGCTGAACGAAAATGCAATGGAGATAGCATATATCGAACAAATTGGGTGTAAATTTCTGATCATTATTGGTTGAGTTTGGAGTTTGACTTGACCTTCCGTAATATCGCCTGCTTCTCTAGATCTTGAGATGATTCGAACGAAGCGACCACCGCACTTAATAACCACTCACTCAGAGGAGATCGTTGCATGATTGATATTTTGTTCCTAAAACATCTAGATATTATCATGGACACGTAAACTGGGCACATAACTCGCTGTTGGAGTTCGACGAATAAAACAAGACATGCAAAGCAAAGAGTCCAAATGGGCATTCCGTCGCCATCAAAGCAACCTGTCAAAGCATCGCATGTATGTGACATGCATATATCCACAAAAAGTGCATTATATTCAACCAATTGCCTATCGAAGGTACATCTCATCATCCATTCTCGTATGCTTACCACCCATTGCCTTCGTCGACTCAGCATATTGCCGAGCCATATCAACAACCGCAAACTTTTTGCCTAGCTCGCGAATGTCCTGCACGCTCTGGCCTAGTTGGCCGAGCAACGCGACTAAGGCAACGTCGTTAGCTTGTGCAAGAGATTCGGTGGAGAATGTATCTGATAGTTGCGGCGTTAGGAGGGATAGGTGGGAAATCAAGGAGTGGATGTTGCGCAGTAGGGAGTGCGAGATCTGCGGAGAAGAGGCGGCTGTTGATTGAGTCTGGTTATCTGGAGTCTGTTGAGAGATACTGGAGAGATAGGCTTTTATGAGGTGTAGGCGTGACTCGAGCGTTTTGACGGCGGTTAGACGAGTGTTTAGATTGGCGATTACTATGATAAAATTGGTTAATGGGTACTACTGGCATTTGTCGGTATTTGTTAAATTTGTCCACTTACGGTCTTCATCTTCCTTAGAAAGTGGGGAGACTTCATCCACAACGGAAGTCTTCTCTAGGGGTGTCGATGTAGCTCCGGCCTTCTTGCCGGCGGCGGGTTTCTTAGTGCTACCGGCGGAGGGTTTTGGGGTTGCATCGCTCGCCTGAATAGCCGTAGCATTGCCTCCTCCTCTTGCAACAAAATCGACGCTGATCATTTCTGCTTCCCCCGTTTCGATAGCATACGGTAATTCTCGAAACCGGAGTGCTAAGCTGGGCTGCTGCCCATCCACCTGCATGGTTTTGTCTGCATCGCCCGCATTATTGTCTTCCTCGTATGTCGATTCGTAAATTGCAAGAGGAAGCTTCCCTGTAGCATGAGAAGTGTTATCTTCAAGCCCGGAAGGATCAAACGCAAGCAGCACTGCTGTTTCGTTATATTTCTGGAGAATGTGTTGGTGAATCGGTAGTTGGGTAGCAGTAGGACCTGTGGGTGGCGTGAGGGTGAACCAGCCAACAAGGTCCAACGGCGGATCTTTATGAACGTCTCTAACTACAAAGAAAGATATACTGGTTAGTGTCACCTATTGAGAAACGATTAAGAGCAGAGTGGTCCGGACATTGCTGTAGTCTCTCTTCAAACCAGGGCTCATGTAGTACACTGTCTCCATTAGAAGTGGTTACAATATTGCATTCAAACACATGCTCGAGGCTAATAGTTCGACCCTTTTGCTGTCCTATTAGCGCCCCGGCAATTGGTCCCTTTTGCTGCCTTGCAATGTGTCGGGTGACATGATCTGATATATTAAGGAGGACGAGTGGATGGAGTAGGATTTGGAGGCCCGAGTCGGAAGATTTTAGCGAAATTAGGGGGTTAACCTTTCCCATGGTTCGGAAGCTGCTGTTGAGCCGCACTCCAACTGAAAAAGAGAAGTAAATACAGTCTGTAGTTGTGGATATATCCTCAGTTCCTAGGTAGTGCTTGTTCAGTGCTGTGGTTCTGTATAAGAACTTGGACGCTGAACTCTAGTAAGTTGAAGAGCCTGTTTGTTCTGTTTGCTGTGTTTGGTCAATTTGCATGTGGGGCAATCGCTGTCCCAGATCCATACCCAATGATCGAACAACATCTTTCGCAACGATCGAGCAATAGGTCTCTCCCTAGATGTCTTTGCACGAGGGCGACAAGAAGACATGGAGACTCCTCCCTCTTTCAACGCTGTGAAGGACCACCTCGACACGGTCATCCAGGATCCGTCTATCCCTCTTGATGTCGCCACCCTGGGCAAGCTAAAGGTCGAACTCCTCACCAATACCAACCAGGACGTTTTGTCAGCTATTCTCACCCAAGTTTCGCAGATTCTCCCTATATTGCAGGACGATCCGTCTCCTTTAACAAGTTTAGCTACCAAAGCTGCTTCATATCTAACTTTCACCCAGCTCCAGTCCATTGACCCTCCTCTAAATTTGCTCGCTGGAATCAGTGCCCCATCTCCGCCAGTGAACCTCCTGGCCTTGTCACTCCTAGGACAGGCCAGTCATTCAAGTGCTGATGCAGCGATTATCTCTGGAAACCCTCCTCTCGTGATTGCCCTAGTAGAACTTTGGCTTACGGTCTCCGAAACTGCGGTGTCACAAGCTGCATTTGATGTTCTATGGGCTCTCCTAGAAGTCGATTATGCTCACGACTACGAAAGCGACGCCTTAGTAGATGGGGAGAAGAAAAACAAGATCGGAGGCCAGGGGCTAATGTGGAGGAGAATATTCAATGATAGAGACGTCTACGAACGCCTTTTCTCCATATGCAGCCTTGAGAGCACGGAGCCACCAGGACATATCAGCAGGCGAGACAAGTCTGTAGCCCAAGGCAGGCTAATGGATTTAATTATTAAGGCTGGATCGCTGGATTGGCAGGCGATAGCGACATCACATTTCCCCGACATCGAATCCAAATTTCGAAGTTCCAGCTTATTGAGTTTTGCGGCCTCCCAAATGGTTGATCCAGACGATGTACTATTGCATATGACACATATCCATTTCCTCTGTGAGCTCCTTCGAATTGGAGCTCCAGGACTCCGCCAACGTGCTAAAGTCCAGAGTCATTCGTATCCTCTATTTTCTTCTCCTTCCCTTGAATACCTTACCTCTAGTGGCCTCCACGCCAAAATAATGAGTTACTATTTGGACCCTTCGATCCTTGACCCAGCGTACGCACCGATTCTCTCTGGGCCGGTTATGGGCTATATATCTCAGTATGCGATACTATACCCAAATCATATACTCCAGCAGCCTCAGGCCTTTCTGGATTCGATTCTTTCACGGATCTCGGAGGCTTTGGACATTCAACCTGTTAAATGGGCTCACGGCCCAGTTCCGACTGGCGATCTTGACATTCTTGCCTCTTTACCCCGAGTGATGCTTGTAGAAGCAGGAAACAGATGGATCAACCCGGTGCAGTCGATACCTTCGAAGCCTGTAAACAGTCATGCCCTGGATGCTCTGGGTCGAATATTTAAGGGACCGCCAACTCTTGACAACGACTCCAATGGGCTCTCAGACCCACTGGATCAAAATCCAACAAGTCCCCGAGCAGAAGCTGCAGCTTCTCGTGTCCTATATCTTCGGTATTTGAATGAGCATCCGGATTTATGGGCGAATGTTGTTGTTGCTGCTGATGTCCTTGCCATGCAGGACACAGCCCTTGCAGCCATCGCGTTTATAAAATCCGTCCTGACAGCACACTGGGCTGTGATTCCGCCAAGTGGTAGTAACTCAACGACCCTCACTAACCGCCGATTTGGCCTACCCACAGAGGATCAGATTTCTCGACTTGGCCCGTCAACACAAGGCAAGCTTCCAAGGTCCGGTTTGTGGGCACTTTTCGTACCTCCCGCCTTAACGGAGGTCCTACCCTACCTTTTCAAAGCCCCACAGACGTACAATAACTTTGTCGCCGGTGGGGCAGCGGACACGGAGAGTGCTGTCTGGAGAATTGCAACGGCTAAGTTTGATGCGCTTGTTGCATTACAGACGGAAGTGAAGAAGGTTGATGGGGGTTTTGAAGGGTTTGACGATATTATCCGAACACTTAATAAGCGGGTTGCAGATGGTCCATGGGGTCCTTCGAGCCAAGTTGGTAGTCGGGTAGATGCGCTGGAGCTGTGATCAATTTAGTCATTCGCGTGCCCTAATGATAGTTATGCATTTATGGCTTTGTCAAGTACCCATATGAGCTCTCCAGAAAGTCAAAACATGTAAACGTAGGACAGTCGTTGGTCTTTTCTTGCCGATGAACATATTCAGTTGATGAAGTCTAGCTATGATGACGTGCTTAATTATTGATTTATTGACTGCTTGGTGAAAATGCAGGGTATGGGATCAACATTATGTATCTTAATAATGATAACTACGCCGTACCAGAACTGAAATTCCACAGTGTTGCAAAATAATTCAAGGATGTAATGTCTAAAACATATCTCTCTTAATAATGACAAGCGTCTGGCTACCTGTCGTCTAGATATATATATATCCCTTGGCGCCTAGCTGATGATCGGCCCCGCTAAGGTAATATTGACAGGCTAAAATAAACGTGGTTGAGTTCGCCCGAATTGAAAAGCGGTCAGATTCGGCAGTATATTTATTTTTCTGACGTGACCCATCTTAGAGGGAAAAGTACGAATTGCCAACCAAAGCCAAAGTCTGTCAAAAGCAGCATTTAAACTGACTTGTGCCAGAGATAATATATGTTATTTTTACTCCACTCCATAAGCCTTTCTTTTGGACTATAATATTACTATATGAATCATTCCTTCAATCTCCGTCTTTTGGAAATCGAGAAAGCTGAAAGAGAGGAGAAAGAAATATGTCACGCTTTGGTGCAAACCGGGGCAGAAAGCTGCCTGGTGCTGAGTTCTCGTGGGATACAGAGGGTGGGGGAGAACCAGATAACGCACCTACGCCATTATTTCCGGTGAGCTATAAATGAGGCTCTCCCATTGTTACTCTTTTAAACCTTCTCTTTGCTAGCATCATTCTTCCCAATCTTGATTCTTTACGACCGAATATGAAGTAAAGGAGAGGTATGCGCGCGGCTAACACTTCATTTCAGAAATACTCAGTACCCATTGCAAAATCGCTTACGGAGGAGGAGCGCAGCCAGGTCGACTACTACAGGCAGTTGCGGCAGATGATACATGATGGACCCTATTATACAGTGTTGAGCACGCCGCCGTCATCACAAAAGGGAGGCGCGGTGGCTGCTCGAAAAGCTCAGTTTGATCCATTTCAAGGCATGGCGACATACGGACAGAGATATTTGAAGAAAACTAGGACATTGCCAAAACTTTCAGGAAGGCCCTATGGTATGTATATCTTTTATTTGCCATTCTGCTTCCCCCCCCCCCCCTTCCGTACGAACCTAGGCCTCTTGGGCCTCCCTTTATCTTACTTATTTCCTTACTTGGCTAGCTTTTATTTCCCAGACTAATGTGAGCCCCGATGCATCGTGCCTTTGCTTTTACAGTTATGAACTTTTTTCCAAAAGAGCTCTGGTCGACCCTTGACCCCAAATATGTCGGTTTGCAAGCTGGTGGTGCCAATGGGTTTGGTTCGCTTTTACGAGGCGGCCAGAAGCGTGGCTTTGAGGATGACGAGGAGGATGAAGATGTCGGTCCGTCTCGGAAGAGAATAGCAGCTGATGGAGAAGAGGATGAAGAAGGATCAGAGGTTGGCGAGAAACGAAAGCGGGGAGCTGGAGCGGAGGATGAGGACTTGTTGGATGAGGATGAAGATGGGGGAGAGGAGGAAATTGTGGATGATGATTTCGAAGATGATGAGGAGGATATGGGCGGAGATTATAACGCAGAACAGTATTTCGATGGTGGGGATGATGACGGAGATGGATATGATGGAGGTGGAGAGGGGGATAATGATACGTATTAATGAGTGCTGTTTTTCTCATTTTTTACTATGGATGATGATGATTCTCCTCTTTATCTCGTTTATCTCGTTTCTTTCAATTTTCTTCATATATGATACCCGTTTTTCTTTTCTTTTCATGGAATATAGCCAGTTATGTACAGTAGTGTATATCAGATGGGATAGCCGGGCTCGATCATAACAAAATGTTCATGACACTATTTTGGGAGATTCCAAGTCTACGCTTAGGCCTGGCGTTTTCCACAAACCATATTCGGTATGCAGCATATTTGAACTTTAATGTATTAGCTATATGACTTCTTAGCACTGCCACAACTTGTCCTTCAGCATAATCACCGCAAGGTAAAGGTTAAAAACATGCCTCTAGGGGTACAATATATGACCCCTACAGGTAGGTAGACACTTCTTACTGGCCCACTTGCCACTTATTTGGTAAATTCGCGCCTAATATGAGGGCATAGATCTGAATGAATGAGCCAAAAAGATTTAATGAGGAAATATAAAAACTTTTGGCTATACTTTCTCCCGTTAGTTCGTATCATGCCATCGACAAGACGAAAAAGTGGTGTTTTGTTCGATGACCTCATAATCAACCCTAACCTAATTTGGTTTTTTTTTTCTGGGCGCGTAGAATCCCCAACATCTCAAATCCTTTATCAGATCGACCCCGCGATGTAGAATCAATGGCCAACGCCGACTCCAACAACACGGAACACGCATCCGGTAGAACTGCTATAATTCTTTACGGTTCAGAAACTGGAAACTCCCAGGATGTTGCTGATGAGCTTGGGCGCCTCGCAGAGAGGTTGCACTTCTCAGCGCATGTTTGCGAGCTGAACGCCATTAAAGCGGTGCGATAAGGGCGCATACCAGAATTTAGGGGAATTGAAGCTCACACTTGATGTAGGAATCTCTAAATGACTATGACGTGACGATATTCGCGGTCTCGACGACTGGACAGGGCGATTTCCCTTCCAACGCTCGGATTTTCTGGAAGTCATTGCTGCTGAAGAAGCTTCCGCCAACATTTCTCCAGGGTGTAAACTTCGCGCTCTTTGGATTGGGGGATAGTTCGTACCCAAAGTAAGGTTGCAATTTTCTCATTATTTACGTATCAAATTATTAACAAATTCCGGTATGGGACCTTAGGTTCAACTGGGCATCTCGGAAGCTTTACAAGAGATTATTGCAGCTTGGTGCAAACGAGCTGTACCCATGCGGCGAAGCAGATGAGCAACATCCGGAAGGGTATGCATTCTATGAGTACCATTAATTTCGGCTTGCCCATACTGACACTGCAATCTTAGTCTCGAAGGCACCTTCGTCCCGTGGTCGCTGGACCTACGAAAGCATTTATTGGACAAATTCCCGCTTGCGCCTGACCAACACCCGATCTCAGATGACGTTCAGTTACCACCAAAATGGGTGCTCGCGCGCCGGGAATATAGCCCAGTCGAAAGCACCACTACGTATCCGGGTATAGCACTGCCAAAAGTACAATCTGGGGAACAACTAGAAAATGGCAGCATCCCTTCGAATTTTTCTCATGACCTGCGACCCATTCCGAATACTGTCTCCGCGACATTAGTCGCGAACGATCGACTCACACCGCAGACCCATTGGCAAGATGTCCGCCACATTATTCTCAAGATTCCCGAGTCAATTCGATACGTCCCAGGCGATATCCTACAAATAACTCCTCGGAATTTCGCTGGCGATGTAAACTCACTAATAACCATGATGGGCTGGGAGAACGACGCCGACATACCTTTACGTTTTATTCCCAATCCTAAATATGTGTCAGCCAAGAACTTATCTTCTCCCGAGATCCCATTTCTGTTGAATTCGCCCGGCTTCACCCTCAGAAACCTACTCACTGACTATTTAGATATAATGGCCATACCACGACGATCCTTCTTTTCCAACATTGCTCACTACACTGAGGACCCTATGCATAAAGAGCGACTCTTGGAGTTTACTGATCCAGAATACATAGACGAGTTCTACGACTACACCTCGCGACCCCGTCGGTCAATCCTCGAAGTCTTGTATGAGTTTGAATCCGTGAAGATCCCTTGGCAACACGTTTGTGCCGTGTTCCCCGTCCTTCGCGGACGGCAATTCAGTCTTGCCAGCGGTGGGAAACTGAAAACCACCGAAAGTTTACCTGGTAGCCATGTTACAAGTTCTGGCACTCGCTTTGATCTCCTGGTCGCCATCGTCAAATACCAAACAGTAATTAAAAAGATTCGTGAGGGTATATGTACGCGCTACCTTGCAGTGCTTCGCCCAGGGAGCACATTGAAAGTCCAAGTGCAAAAAGGCGGACTCAATTCCTCAATGCGACAGCTCTTGGAGCCTACAGTACTGATCGGGCCTGGCACAGGAGTCGCACCACTTCGCTCTATGTTATGGGAAAAGGCTGCCATGGCGACTACATTTCGACAAAAGCATGGCCCTGACGTACCGATGCTTTTTGGTCCTATTATCCTGCTGTATGGCGGGCGGAATAGAAGAGCAGATTTCTTTTTCGAGGATGAATGGGATGAGTTGAACAAGGTGCTCGATATCACGATATTAACGGCGTTCTCAAGAGATCAGAAACAGAAGATATACGTGCAGGACCGCATCCGCGAGCATGCCGCGTTGTTTTTTAGAGTATTACATGATCTGAATGGCACTGTCTATATTTGTGGGTCGTCAGGTAAAATGCCTCAGGCGATTAGGGAGGCGCTTATTGAAGGCTTCCAAGAGTTCGGGAAGAAAGAAAGTGAGTCCGGTGAAAGGCAGAGGTATAGTCGAGAGGAGGCAGAGAAGTATTTGATGGATATGGAGAAAGTGGGGCGGTATAAGCAAGAGACTTGGTGAAGTGTAGCTGGTTAAACTGAGGTGAGAGAAATATAACCGATTCATACTAGATAATGCCATGCCATGCAATCACATAGACCGTGTTTTACATTATCCTGTTTCTGAGAAACCTGATTGATTCGGAAATTAGCAGAACTTGACAGAAGTCCAAAGAAGTTTAGTTACTCACACTACTCTGAAAATATCAAGAGAGGTTGAGCATGATGAGAAAAGTTTTGTTCCGTGTACAGGCGGGACATATGTCACGTGAGTCAGGGTTCCGGCAAACCTCGGTTGCCGAATCCGGCGATCTGAGTGAGGGTAGATTCGGAAGTTCAGCAACGCCGACAACATCGACGTTTTCAAGCCGTTGTACACTCCCCAAAAACCGACACATCACCACCACCACCACCACTCAGCTGTTGTACCCCGGGTCAAATTCACAACGGCCACTGTATCGACAAGTAAGGGCCTCCGAGCTGCCAGTGTACTCTCCGATTTCCAACAATGGCTGCGAATGCTCTCAGGATACTGGTGCCCGTAAAACGGGTCATCGACTTCGCCGTACGTGGTTTTACCTCCTCCCAGTCCGTTCTCAGTGCTCGCACTACATTACAATTGGGGAGAATCTTTCCCTTTTTTCAATGTGTTCCTGTTGCCTGTATAGCCCGAATTGAGCTGCTGTCTGCCTTACCCGCATCCCATAAGCACCGATCTATGCCGGCCGTTCCATTAACTCGCCATAAATTAACATACGCAGATAAAACCCCGTATCAACAAAACCCAAACAGGCGTCGAAACTGCCGGCGTCAAGCACTCCCTCAACCCATTCGATGAGCTCTCCATAGAAGAAGCCGTCCGCCTACGCGAACGCAAGGGCCCTATGACCGTCTCCGACATCCTAGCTATCTCCGCCGGTGGCCCTAAGTGCGCAGACACCCTCCGCACCGCCATGGCCATGGGAGCTGATCGATCAATCATTGTCGATGTACCCGAGAAAGCAGACCAGGCAGGCTTGGAACCATTGACCGTGGCCAAGATGCTGAAGAGCGTAGTCCAGAAGGAAAATATCAATCTAGTGCTACTAGGCAAACAGGCTATTGATGGTGATCAGGGACAAACGGGCCAAATGCTGGCTGGTCTCCTGGGCTGGTCACAGGCGACACAGGCGAGTAAGGTTGATATAAAAGACGATGCGGGCACTGTGGAGGTCACTCGGGAGGTGGACGGCGGCGTGGAGACGCTCAAGGCCAAGTTGCCCATGGTGATTACTACGGATCTGCGGTTAAATGAGCCACGCTATGCCAGTTTGCCGAACCTTATGAAAGCGAAGCGGAAGCCGTTGGAGAAGAGGACTTTGGCAGAACTTGGGGTTGAGGATACAAAGAGGTTGAAGACTTTGAAGGTTACGGGTATGTCTAGCTTCTATGGTTTTCTCTCTTCAGTTTATTGAGGGTATTTAGTTCCCTGCTGGATACAACTAACTTATCTTCAATAGAACCCCCGGCCAGGCAAGGAGGTGGCAAGGTAGAAGATGTCGATGGAATGATTGCCAAATTGAAAGAGCTGGGTGCTCTATAAAAGGGTTCCTTCACAGTTCATTGTCGCTGGCTCTGCCCTCGCCATCAGTGTATACGTACAACTCAGCTTCCTTTTGGCGTACTGTGTTTTTTTTTTCGTCATATTTTTCCTCTTCCTTTTCTGTCCCCTACAATATATGCGAATCTGTGCAAAACATCCTACACACGACGTGATGTACATGTACATATCTACGTACCTCCTATTTTGGACGCCATCAAAAACCAATATCAAAAAAGACCTACTCGATATATGCGTCTACTTGCACCAGAGATTTTGTGCTCCTGCTTTCAACCCTGCCGTTTCTTTTAGATATACGTGTTATTTCCAAAATGAATGACAGTCGGACCTTCCAACATTTTCGCTTGAAAGGTTAACTGAAGGCACATGCACATTTCCATACATCGTATGGGTCATACAGGCAGCTTTAATGGTCCGTAATGCTCAACAGTGAATAGGTTGGAATTGCGCTCTAGTGAAAGAAACAGTATGACACGCTCAGGTTTGCACAGTGAATAATATCTTCCCATAGGACAGGGCACTTTACATCAGTTAACTATGTACTCTGTACATGTACATGTACATTACATTCGCAACTATCTTCCCTTCTAGCATTCAGCTGGCTTAAAGATCATCTTGCTATTCTCAAAAGGAGGATTATCACGATAGGATGAGTCCACAGTGGCTCTGGTTGGTCTTGTTCATTTGGCACAGCATCAAGCAAGAGACAAACGTAATGGTCCTTGTCTAGAGAGTTGAACGCAGGAGGCACCATCGCCGCCAGAAGACTAACGGACCAAGAACTAGATTCCACAGCCCAACATTGCTAGGCACAATCGTACCATGATCCAAAATCTGCCAACATGGTGCTGGGCATATCCAATGAAATCAGGGAGAACACCTAGCTTTCTCGAAAATAAACTGCTCGCCTGGTATCACACAAAAAAAGGGGTGAAGAAGGCGGATAAAGGAAGGAGAAAAGGAATGGATATAATTAAAATCCCCATTACGTTGGAAAGAGTCACCAGGCAAGGCCCCAATAATATATGTCTTGACATGAGGCCGAAGCCTGCCCTGCCCAGGTGCTGGCAAGGGTGTCCGGGGCAGCCAGATATTCCCTTTTATGGCCTAGTGGATTTTCAGACCCATGGGTTGTAGCCAACCTTGTTGTAAACCTTATCTTAAACGACCAATCCTCTCGGTAACTAACCCCAATGCGTTCTAGCGTCATAAATCGGCATACTCGGGATGCCGTGAGTTGTCTTGTGTTAAGTTTGTAATGAAAGTTACGAGACAGGTTTATGCCGTCACTGGTTGCCTCAAAAGGCCGTAAATGTAGGTCTTTACAGTCTATCATAGGCTCACTTTCCCCATCTATCCCTTTATTCTAGTTCCCTAAAATGCCTCGTGCTACTATGTAGTTAGCGGCCACCCTAGTGTCATATGGTTCCATTTGCACGAGAATGAAATAGGATACCGACCAGTTAGATATTGCTGCACAAACTTGTCAGGCAATATGGTTAAAAATCCAACGCAACGCAGGGCTTCTCCTGCAAAAGGAAGGCATGATGCCCATCTAGCAGACCAAAACATGGGTTCTACAGTGCGCCGCAGCAGCAGACTCCAATCGCTTCAGCAGGACCGTGCTTCTGAGCAACCATCTCAGGCAATACTAAGCCATCCGCCCATTTTTACTATTGGTCACGGAACGCGCACGCTTCCTGAGCTTATTGGGCTCCTCCAGTCCATCCATGTCACCAAGCTTGTAGATGTTCGCTCTATTCCGCGGTCGTTCACAAATCCGCAATTTAATCATGATACCCTCCAGGACTCTGCAGAATTAAACAATGCCCATATCACCTATTTATGGTCTGGACCTTTACTGGGTGGGCGGCGTAACGCAAAACAACCGAACCTTGATCAACACAATACAATCCGCGTCGCCGCGTTCCGAAATTACGCAGGATACATGTGCACGTCGTCGTTTAAAGAGGGTCTGACCGAGCTAAAAAGCCTCGCAGAGAACTTGCAAATTTCTGGCCAAGGGTGCCTTGCAATTATGTGCAGCGAGACGCTCTGGTGGCGATGCCATCGACGGATGATTGCAGATATACTAGTAACACATGGGTGGAAAGTCCAGCATCTGGGAGTTGGAAAGAAGCCAATGGAACATGAGAGGTGGGAAATTGCAAGGGTTGGTGAAGAAGGAAACCTCGTGTACGATGGGCATGACAGCCGTTCGAAACGAAAAGCATGTTTGACTTGAGATCCACGCGGGAAGTGTCACCTTCGAACTGATTCAATGTTCTGCTGCCGCGAGTGACGAGGCGTTGATTTGGTTGATTTGATCTATGCTTACTATCACACTTCCTCAGTCGCGATACTGCTACGTTTTGGAAGGCTAGATTATCCTATCTCAGTATCGGCTTTCTATGCTGCCGCTCGGTGCATATCAAAGGGCGTTAACGCACTACAAGGGCGGTTGCCCAGACTTCAAATGTACGAAAACCCTTCGGAAACTACAACGAATCTTCAACAGCGGCATTAGTTCATAGCTTGGACAATACACTTCCCATCTGCGAACTTTTCCATCTGCAATTTCTCTTGAACTGCTTATGGCATACCTACTCGCTTTTACATAAACCCCTTACCTACGTTTACTGAATCGTCGTATAGCCAACCACCCACAGGAAACGAGCTTTAAACTGATTTTATACCGACATCTGCAACACCCCTGGTCATCCCGAAAATCGATGTCTCTCCTGAGCCAGAAAATGCGGCAGCAACGAGCGATCTGGAAATTTAGGAATCTTTCTTAGCTTTGTTAGGACTATGATGGTATAGGATAGTGCCTTTAGCTAATATGCTCTCTTAAGCCTAGTTTCCATGATTTTCTGATGCGCTCGTTCATTCTTTTGTTCATTATTATGAGAAGACATTGAAATATCAAGGATCAGTCAAGTTATTCCTCCTTAACTTTAATTCCGCTTATATCCTTCACACTTGCTAATCTTGGTTGCCTCCACACAATCATGGCAAGTGTCACAAATTGCTAAACACTCATAGTATTTCTTTATTATCAAGTTTGATAGAGAATTGACTGTTGGCAGGAAATGAAATGATTATTAAACTAAAAAAAATATCATGTTTAATAGTCTAAAAAGTTGAGAAGAATGCACATTCCTTTACAATTTCCAATGCTTATTGTTTTAATGATTGCATGAACAAACATGCTCAAATCACACTCACACACAAATTGGATGACAAGAATCTAAAAATTAAATCCATCTTGGGAGTCTAACTTAAGAAACTGCTCCAACTGAGATGCTCCTAGTTTGACTCATCGGCATTTCACCCAGTGGCTCCTCATCATTGAGTCACCATGGCAGAGTGTCACACTAACCTATTCGGATCCCCAAGTCCTATTCTGATTTGGCGCATCTTTGCCCCGCGCTCCGTGCTTCCTTGGCTTTCAGAAAGATGTCTGCCCTTCCTATGCGATATCATGCCAAAATAAACCCAGAGCTTCTGCAAAGTTGCTGAACGACATCGCGCCTGAAAAGGTTTCCATCTGCCGTCAGATCGAGTTCCAGCCGTTTAACATAAAACTGTGCAAAATGTTACATTTAGATGGCAGCACTTTGGAAGGGGGCGGTCAGCTAGTCCGCAATGCGCTCGCTCTGTCTGCACTGACGGGGAGACCAGTAACGATTAACAACATACGAGGGAAGAGGAATGGCCCTCGGGGCTTAAGGCGGTCGCACACCGCCGCGATACAGTTCCTCGCTGAGGTCTGTGGCGGGCGCATTGTCGGCGCTACAGTAGGATCCTCCGAGATTACATTCTATCCCCGAGACACGGAAGATGCAAATCTAAATGGCGCAGTGGGAGAAGATGAGGCCCCCTCTGTACTGCACAAGAGAGCGCGATTACATCCCATCAATTTGACATTGCCAATCCAATACGAATACAACATTCGCCTTACAACTCCTGGCTCTACCTTCCTCATCTTTCAGGCGTTATATCCATACCTCATGTATGCCGGCGCGAGGCTGCACAGACACGGCGAGGGCGTCAACGGTAGCTCGGTTAGCCAAGTTATCAAGTTGAACATCACCGGTGGCACAAACATATCATTCTCTCCGTCGTATGACTACGTAGCTCAAGTACTCATCCCTACCTTCGCAAGATTAGGCCTCCCAAGGCTCTCTGTTAAGTTAAATCGCCGTGGGTGGAGTACTGGGGCAGTCCAAATAGGCTCAGTATCTTTTGAAATTGAACCCCTTGCTATCTCACGCGCGAGTGGAGTTACGGCCGAACAGTCAGATACGAAAGAGGCTGGCCAGCATACATGCCCAAAGGAGTCAGCTGCTGGAAACCCCGGACGTGAGAGCTCAGGCGGGGCAGAGTCTTCTCTTGCTTTTACTCCTAGGTTTCCCCGCATTGACTTGGAGAATTTGGACCCTGGGTACATAACCAGAGTCGATATCACTATTCTAGCTCCCGATACCACTCTTAGCCAAGCCGCAGCGCTCAGACATTCGAAAAAGGCTCATCATCGAACACGCAAGAATGGAAAGTATATGCAGCACGGTACGAACCGCCCTAAGAAACATTATTCCAAAGGGAAAGTGCTATCCGAGGAATTTGCTGAGGATGGATCTGAAGTTCATGCGCCCACGATTTCAGGGAACAGAGGTTTGTATGAGTCTCCCGGACTTCAGTCAGTCTCAATCCGTGGTTTTCTAGAGGATACTGCAATGGAATCGGTCACCAAAGCTCTAAGAGTATTCTCCGATAATGATCCCAGAACCACCAAGCAGCCCTCGCCGAACGAAACACCGATTGTCAGAATTCACACGACGGAGCCAACATACGACCCATCCCACATCTATCTTCTTCTTGTGGCCCATACATCCACAGGTTTTCGACTTGGCAGAGGTCAGCTATATTCCGAATATCAATCTGGACAAGGGAATACAGCATATCGCATTCGAAGCCCCCAGGAACACATGGAGACCTTGTTCCGCGAGATGGTAAATGAATGCGTAGCCGGTTTGATGGAAGAATTTCTCGTTACGACTGATGCAGGGACAAATGATGCCCCAAGGATGGGAACTAAAGGTTGTTTAGACACATTTACAAGAGACCAAGTTGTTGTTTTCCAAGCCCTGGGAGCACTGGACGAAGATAGGGAGAGCTGTGAATCTGGCAACCAAAGGGAGGAAGCGGGTCTGAGCTTGCATTCACGCACAGCAATTTGGGTTTCTGGGCAGGTCCTCGGGGTGAGGATATAATAAGTCCTAACTATTTACCAAATTTTGCACATAATGATGCAAGGTCTTCGAAATAGAAGGGGAAATGATTCTCTTTTTAGTTCTGTTGTGCCACGTGACTAATTACCGAACCCGCCACCACACCAATAACTATGCATTCCCCAACAGCAAGGCTCTCGTCAACAACACACCTTGAGCCTCATAAAGCTGACCCGGACTGGCTGCGCTTGCCAGCCCTCGTAGTGTCAACCAGAATGGCGTGTCTGGGCGTATACGTTCTCACTTTAAATTGCTCTCGGAATGTGATCCAGCACGACACACTCGCATCCCATCTCTTCGACGCCCTCCCCGAATCAGGGTCTCAGTCCACGGACCTACCTGAGATTCTAGTGTTATCGCTGCAGGAAATTGCACCTATTGCCTATGCCTTTCTTGGAGGTTCATTCTTAGATCCGTACTTCGATGCCTTTCGTCGTTCCGTGAGCATTGCAGCCCGGGACCAGCACTACGCGAATGTCGTAACAAAAAATGTCGGAATGACAGCAGTAATGGTTTTTGTGCGCGGGGATGTCGCTGAGAACATTGCCTGGGTCGAGACTGCAGAAGTTGGAGTTGGGGTACATGAAGCTGGGAATAAAGGAGCTGCCGGGGTACGGATTGGCTACCATATTAGAGACGGCACGGTTGACTTGACTTTTGTTGCTGCGCATCTTGCTCCGGACGAGTGGGCCGTAGCGAGAAGGAATGAAGACTGGAAGAACATTGTCCAAAAACTCGTATTTTCGAGGGTGAAAATTGAAGGGGAGAATACGCCTATCCACGATGAACGGAATGAAGAGGATGTCCCACTTCTCCAAAATGAATCATCTGATACAAATGGAGATATTGGTCTATATTCACCCAGATCGTACCTTTTTGTCGCTGGAGACTTTAATTATCGGACATCGTTAACTCGCCCAGGGCCAAATGACTACAGGAAGTTCCCGCGACCGACGGAAGATATCAGCAGTCCTCATCACTACTCGCATTTATTAGCGAAAGATCAATTAACCCAAGAACTCCAGGAACAAAGGACGCTACAGCATTTATCTGAAGCGCCCATCAAATTTTTGCCCACGTATAAATTTTCCTCTCCAACCCATCAGCCAGCCCCTGGAGGATTATTTGAAACATGGACATGGGCGAAGAATCGCTGGCCGAGTTGGTGCGATCGAGTACTCTATCAAGACGTCCCGCCATCCACATCGGCGGGACAGGGTGGCATTGAAGTCCATCGATACGATGCTTTACCGATAATTCCAACATCAGACCACCGCCCTGTTGCACTTTCTGTCTCTGTCCCGCTCAGGCCTGCGTCGACTCCCGCGGTCTTCTTGCCTCCGTTTGAAATTGATCCTAACTGGGAAAGCAAAAGGCGCATTGCAAGACGCAAAGAGGTTGTTGTAGGTGTAGCAGCCTACCTAGCCCTCACACGTGAAGGCAATGTACTACTTCTGAGCACTGCTCTCGTTTTAACCCTGGTCTACTTCGCCCTGCAGTCATTTCGTGCAGGATGAACGTTCGTGGGGTACTGTTTTATCATGAAACCGATATGGCCCACTTGACCTCGAACAGAACGACAAATGATGTGATACCAGATCGCCTAAAGTTTTCAAGGGGAAGGCTCACATATATAATCAACATTATTAAGGTGCACACATCCTTCAGTTGCGAACTATAAAACGCCATGTGGATATCTATACCGTCCTTCACTCTACATTATTGCTAGGCATGTTCCAGCTAACACGGCATCGACGCCCACAAATTTCGAGGTGTCGAACGGGAGAGCAGCGGCCCATAAATGACAGTGTCCTCTTTTCATTGGCTGGGTTTTATCCACTGAGCGTGAAACTGAGGTGTCAAGATATCAATCGATTTCAGTTTATCTGGAAGATGCTCAATGCCACTCATAAACTCGAAACACGACGGATGGGGACATATTTGCTCAAATCATCTCCGCTCACTACTGCCTGATTTTGATATCTTCCATCATGTCACGGACTTTTCATCCGACGAAATGATTCCTGGTGCAAATGGGAAATGCGCGAACGTCTCAAGACCCCTAGTCTTGGGACGATGTTCAGGGAACTTAGCTCCGCATTCGGGGCAAAACAAGAACTCGAGAGTATTCTAGAACTTTGATAGACCCGCTAGAACCTAGCTCATAATATAACGCTAGTCAGGGCGCCGATGTGACCTATAAACGACCCAGCCGTGTGGTCCAACTTTTTAAGGGTTGGGCAGTTCCAAAATCTTATCCATGGTCTGAAACTCGCTAACGATGTCTTCGGAGACCCCAATTTAACCGTAATGAGGGACGCACTTACAAATCCTTGTCAAATCCCCATCCATTCATAATCGAGAATACAAGCACTGGGAGGGAGACAACATAGGATTTAAACATCAAGCCCAAAACAGTTGTTACTCTCTTGATGAGACCCATATTCTAGTAGCTAAATTTTCCTCACCCTGCCAGGCCACCCCAGAGAACTCGGACTGACGAATGCTAACCGCTGTTTCTCAACTACCGCCATTATGATATGTGCTCGGGCGGCTCCAACCTTATTAGGAGATGGTGGGATGGGTATAAAAGCTCCAAAAATAAATAAAGATAAAAAACCATACACTCTGAGGCGATTTATTAGGGTAGTTAGGGGTTTGGGGAGAGTTGAAATGGAGGTAGAAACATTCCAAACCCGGATACTGCTGGAAGCATGTGGATGCGAGTGCCTTGAACCTCTTCCCTTCCCTCCTCTTTGGCCAACTCAGCCATGTTTAACAGATGCAGTTATAGCAGGGATGGAGGAGATTGGAAAGGTGCAATCGGGATTCAGCTAGAGAGCTGATTTTACGCGCATAAAAGGGCATTTGACACTGAGAACTCACCTCTATGTTGTGTTTTATCCCATTAAATAGCTACTTATGTATGCCAGAGAGTGACTTCTTCATATCTCACTTCTTCCGTTCTTGTGATCTCAGGAGATGGATGAGGGGTGGATTGTTGTTAGCTATTTCTTCGAATATGCCCCAGATGCATCGCCCCACTATGATCAAGCTAGTCAAACGCATGGAAACTTTTCGAAAACCACTGGACCAACCGGACCAATCCTTTGGATCTCTGGGCGCCCAGGATAAGGGGATACTTGACACAAAAGGCCGACTAATCTAGGCGACTAATAAATTGGTTCTAGACTTTGTGCTGAAGGTCTTTGATGCATCTTTGAACCTCTTGACGACGTCTCATACGATGCAGTTCGCTAAACGAGCGCGGCTAGTATGACTGAGGCTCATGGATAACAACCACAATGTTGACCGCAAGAAAGCTGTCAGATGGGTGCCGTGCAGGTCTGTATCAGCCTGACTAGCTTTCTAAGCCCATATACATGTACAAGACATACTTAAACACACTCTTGGGTATGTCGAAATGCCCTCAGGCAACTTTTGATATGGCAGTGAGAGCAGACAATGTGAGATTGATACTAATAACTGAGAATGGGGAGGGTAGTCCACCGATACATCCCGTATATGTACGCATGCATTGCAGCTAGTTGCCTTGCCTTCCGAGGATTCCATCTACACCGCAAATCTGCGCAGGAACGCAGACTGGATTGTTGCGTTGTTCTTTCAGCACAAAAAATGTAACAAGATAAGGCAACATAGCGGCCTTCCGAATGAATACAGCGGGTTAGGCAACTGAATTAATTCGAATATAGACTGGGTTGCCAATGGTTGCTCTCATTGGTTTTCGCACATGCAACGTAATCATTCATTCCCCCCCCCTCTCTCTCTCTCTCTCAATGCGGCTGGAGACTCAACAGCTCCCGGGATTAAGTCAATCGCAGCAAAGAAAATGGTGCGGAAAGAAAGAAAGAAAGCCCTAAGCTCTACGCAATTAACCGAACATTATTTTGGGCATTAGCTTCGAGTCATGAACTCCTATTTGCCCACAGGCACTCCCGCGTCGAGCCGTTTGTATGATTTTCAGCCGGCGCGAGCTGCGGGCGCAATGCAGGAGATCAACACGATGGACGTATTCCACACTGCAGGGAGGCTCCGATGATGCACGAGAGAAATTTCAGGGTTTGCGTAGCAAGCGAAAAAAAAAAAAGAAGGGAAAAACAAGAAAAAGAAAAAGAAAAAAAGGAACCAAAAACAAAAGTCTGCCGGTGCTCAGGTAAAGCATGTATGTAACTGCAATTTCAAAATTCATGTTGATGTCGTCAATTGACGAGTCCTGTCTCCTGTCCTCTTTTGCTGGTGGCGTTAAACCCTGAGTTTGTGAGTTTCATGTTTAACTGGTAGTTAACTGAGCCTGGCTCCTAATGATTTTAACCATGCCATAACTCCTTTGCTATCGACTTAATATGCAAGCACGTAACATATAGATGTCATTGTCTCAAGAAAAAAATCCATGCCACAGTTAGCGCAGCCTATCGCATATCCGAAAAAAAAAAAAAAAAAAAAAAAAAAAAAAGTCAGATGTAAAAAAGGGAAAGGTGGGCTATTCAGCGGGGCCGCAGCCAGCATCCATGGATGCAGCTTGATAGCACGAAACGGAACGCAGAGGCACTGACATATAAAACCAGGTTCAGCCAAAATATATGGTTTTCGGCAGACAGGAGACAGCATCTCACGAGTCACAGGTGCACGAACAATTACTTGTAATTCCGAAGATCAGTCAACCCTCAGAGAATGGTTACCATTAACTTGTTTGGGGCTGGCTGGGACGGTTCAACCAACGGGACAAAGGACGGCGACGGTTTATTTGCCTGTTTCAACCCAGTCTTGGGAATAAGTTTGCAAGAAGGCAAATTTGTGAGCAATCGGCTTGAATACCTTCTCATGGCCTCGAAAATCCAGGCCCGGCTGGACTTTTTGTTTGCCGGGCGATCCGCCCCGGCCATTGGGTCGTTTCTGAACATTTCTGTCCTCCTTGCTTGGGGCTGCTTCGTTTTGCTAATAAGGAGCATGGGAACGGCAAGTATCACGGTGCAATAACATGGAATAGGCTTAGGGGGGCACAAAATCGATTCCCCATGACTCTATGAGTCGGTCGGCCACTTAATTATCTAGTTTAGAATAATGGGCAATTGGAGATCGATCTTGGCCTTGAGAAGCGGCTGCTCAGGTTGACCTGGATTCAGCTCGACACAGCTCTTGTCAAAGTCTAAACGTCTCCAGTTAGGCACCGACAGGCATGTGTCAGGCAGGAAAAGTGACGACAATAATAATAATGTGGTGGGATCGTGGGATGGATCTATCCGACCCAAATGGCCAAACTGCGTGGATCTGGGGTAACTAGCTTTAGATCAGGCTCAGAGGGACAGAAAAGAGTTTCATGTCAGATACGTAGATCATGCCTGAGGTCTGTTTGGATACTACGGATCCGGACAAATACAACCTTGGCCAGAAGATTGGCTGCTATAACTTTTGATATCGCTATATTTGTTGCCATCCCTTGCCGTTTAGGTGGTGGCTAATCAGCAACAAGGCGCAATGGCGAGGTTTCAAGGAGAAGCGCAGTTTTCCATAGTGAGCAGGAAGCTCGATCCGAACCAATGTGGGCAACGCTCTCAAAGAGGATTTAGAGCACGGGAAAAAAGATGATAGCGGAAGAAGAATAGAAGAGAGTTGTCTCACCGTCTATACAAACATCATATGGTCTGCTGATCTACCAGGAATTTACTGAGTACCACGCTTCGAGATCCAATAAACAATGAAAACTACACTAGTTGCTGCAGGCGTCAGTCCCGGCCGAATTATTATTATATTTGAGAGTATAGCAACTTTCCGCGTGGATTCATGACTCGCAGCCCGGTGGAAGGGACTGATTACGCTGTGTATTATTATCGTTAGCATTAATTAGACCACTGCACATACATGTATGTATGTGCGCCCTCCAGTTAGTTATTATCAGCAAGCCAGTGAGTGCAGTGGGGGTGGGGTGGTGCGTTTGAAAGAACCAGCAATGGCCAGCAATAATGCCCTCAGTAAGATCGGAATTAAGGCGAAGTATCGACCTGATTATGGGGCCCTAAAAGACTGGGCTGGTTCCAACGCCGCTTCGTGCCCTCCCTGAGTTCCCAAGCCCCCGAGAGCTAAGGGCTAAGGGGACCAGGGCGAGGGAAGACTCCATAATTATGTCCCAGAATAATCGGCAAATAAAAGTAAAAATAAAATAGAAATAAATAAACAATCTCGATTTCTGCCTCAACTCTCTATATAAAGCCGAAGCCCCCTTCCGCTCGGTTTTCCTGCAATTGCTTGCTTTGTTCTACTCTTTGACATAGGCTCTTTTCTCTTCTGCGCCGCCTCTCTTCCTTTTCTATATCTTTTGCCTACTACATACTTTCCTTTAATCCTTCTCCATCTTACCAGCCTCTATCCTTTTCAGAAAGATACCCTCTGTTCTCGCCCTAGTTGGCCCAATAAATACTTTTGCTTCACCAAACTCTTTCTAATTCGTCCACCTTCGACTCTCTATAAAAACTTACCTGCCTACTGTTCAACCTGGCCGTCTAGTATCGCCACTTGTAATTGATTGATCGGCTTGAGATATATCCATCCCCTGCCGACCTCGTTCCAACAACTCAACTGCGACTGTCTCCGGCCGCTTCCAAACCTCAATTTCCACCTGAAGCCGAAAGTCTCACCTCTTTTCCAACAATGTACTCTTGCGCGAATTACTCCCGTGGCTGCCGGGGCCGCGTGAATACCCCAGGAGGGAAATGCGCTACCTGTGTTGTATGTAGATGAAGGCAAAACTTGTCTCTTGAAAAGCTTGTATATACTGACTGTCCACCTTTAGGCATCAAATCTTCGTCGTCCAGCTTCGGCATCACCTTTCTCTCCTCTGCGCGGACAGGCAAACTACAGACGCGCCTGGGACATTGAGAAGCCCGCGGACCTCAATGATCAGGAGAGATTTTAAACGAATTCTTAAAAGAGAACTACATGCATATCAAGTTGGGCTCGATGTCTGACTTTTATGCCACCTTCCTATCTATCTCTCCTTCTATCGACACAACATAAACAACGCTCCCGACAAAAAACATCCAACGAAAATAGAAAAGAAAAGAAACTCCCAAAACAATACAGTCCAGGAGACTAATAAACAAAAATCTATGATCATACGGGAAAAGCCAAAATGAAGAAAGACAAAAAGAGACGTGGAACGTACAGGAATTTACAATCCGCAGGAACCTACTTTCCAGGTTATTTCTCTCCAAACTACGCATCCCCATTTCTATTCTACCTCCCAACCCCCTTCCCCTTCTGAAAATTATATTGTCATTCCGGTTTTGTATTCCGCAGACACTGTTCAGGGCAGGCCTATTTCCATCACTTGTTTTTTTTTTTTCTTTTTTAATCTATTCCATTCCCCATTGTACCACGCGTTGCTTTGTTCCCCCCCCCCCCCCCCCCCGCCCTATTTGCAAATTCCCCTTTGTCTTTCCTATCTGTCCATTGGCACCCTCTCTCGTGGCTAATTTCCTTTGACTATCCGTACATCATAACCGTTTCTGTATGTTCATCGCATTTGGAGGTATTCTGCTCATTTTAGTCTACACTGACAAAAAATATTCAAGCGACGGCGTTAATCATTTTTTATTTTTCCCCCTTCAAGAGTCCTCTACCATTTTTGACTTCTGATGTAACTGTTTCATGTACGCTCGCTCGGTATACACTGCCACATTGATCTCTCATCGCCCTCTTTGCACTTTACAACTACTCCCCTGCTTGAACTGCACATATAATAATACTATTGCTCTTATTACAAGTTTATGCAAGAAAGGGATTATTATATTTTTAGTTTATTGTTCCCTGCATAATAACCCTTTTTTATATTTTAAAACGGCGTGCCTGGTAAAAAAGAAAAGAAAGAAAAAACGACAAAAGGGAAGAAAACAGACCCAACGATTGAAATGAGAAAAAGCAAAGAAAGCCACATCCCTGCGAAATCTAAAAACCTAAAGTTGCACGCTAATTCTAGTCTGAAACAGAAGGTTACTTTGAAGAATCTTTGTCACCTCGAGTGCAACACGCATATTATTTTTCCTCGCTTTTTTTTTTTTTTTTTTTTTTTTTTTTTTTTGTTTCTTTGGAAGAATGAACAAATCAGGAAACTGGAAAATCTAGCCCTGACTCCATAAAATCAGATCAGGGGGTGGCAAAAAAAATTGACAAGAATGGACCTGCAACGGTCATTTTAACAAGGGAAATATATATATACTTATATGTATATGTTTAAAAAAAAAAAAAAAAAAAAAAAAAAAAAAAAAAAAAAAAAAAAAAAAAAATCGAACAGCTCGCCTAGGATAAAAACCTTTTCTTTCCACAGTCGCGGTTTTATTCGGGCCTCTAGTTTGGCCCCCCCCTGAAATCGCCAACCTCTCGCATCCTGGTGGCGCTGATGTTGGGCAGAAATGGCCATGGGCAAAGGAGCAGGGTTAGAAAAGGAGAACCGCAGTCGGACTTTTTTTTTTTTTTTTTTTTTTTTTTTTTTTTTTACTGTGAAAGAGAAAGGAGTAGTATGATACTACTTTCTCCTATAAATTTAAACCTGCACACCCCTTTCGAAGTCATCAAGACTACACATTGTTTACCATAATGACATATATGGCACTGCACATCATGCAAATCAAGGCCGGACAATCATCCTTCCCCTTAATACTCCAGCGCCGGAGCTTGGAGATCCCTTTCTGCACGAACCGCACCGTTCAAAAAGCTCCAGAGCAAAAGAGTGATCGAAAAAAAAGAAATTACATTATCTTTCCTTCGTTTTGATTTATTAATTTTGCTTTCTGGGTCAAAAGAAGAAAAAGCAAAGAAAGGGTTAAAAAAACAGTCCCCTCCGCAAATCGCTAAAGCGCCGTGGAGAACAAAACAACTCAGCAATTATGACAGAGCCAAGATCAGATCTCTGCGCCACTTCTCTCAGCCCTCAAAGCCCATTTGCTGCGTTCCGCTTAAAGTGGGTTTTTCTTTTTTAAACAAAAGAGTCCCTGCTAGCGTGGTATGCAAGATGACCTGACTGACAGGCCAAAATACCCCACTAACCTTTCTGTTACCCGCTCAGAAACCATCCCTCCAGCTTAAACTCCTCATGCCCCCCCCACCAATCGCCCCTTTCCAACGTTGACGTCAGGCTGGCCATGTGGTCGGGTAGTGAAAGGACGACAGGCCCAAGGGGGTGTGGGAGTGGATGATTGGCACCGGATTAGCCATGGCGCAGGTGTGCCTGCTCCTGAGCTCTCTTTCTTGGTGTGACCAGGGAATTTAGAATAGGACCGCCAAAAGGGGAAGAGGGGAAAAGAGGGAAGGAAGGGAGGGAGCGGAGCGGGATGGGCCATGGTTAGTTAGGGGAGTACCCGAGCTTTTTGAGCTGGGAGTCGGTTGACAGAAACCTTGATACAGAGCTCCCCCATCTTGGAAAAAAGGGGTGGATCAGGGGGGGGACATTACTGTTGGACAACCGTCGAAAAACGATGGAAGAAGATAGGAAGTGCTGACAGGGGAGGGGTCAGCAAGCGCTTATGACATCATAAGGAGTCGTGATCGATTTGTTCCATCTGCGCGCTGTTGGCGTGCTTTTTCTTTTTTTTTTCTTTTTTTCTTTCCTTTTTCCCTTTTTTGCTTCTTCGAATTCCCGGATCGCCCTTCCTCTCCTCCAGCCTCACTGACCAGTACAGAGTAGTGACTATTTGACTGTGTTGGCTGATTCCCCCACCAGTCTGGTTCACCCAGTAGTGTGGTTTCAGATTTACTCCACTGTATAATTTAGCGTTGGCGTCTCGTTAGAGCGTACACTAAAGCCCAGTGTGTCGATTTTGCTTTTCTTTTTTCATTTTTGTTTAATCTGACCGTTGAGATCCTGAGGTTGGTGAGTGCTCTGTGCAAACTCTTGTCTCGAGTGTAAGCATGCTCTCCCTGCATCATAAGTACCCAAACTTCCCTCTTGGGAATCAAATGAAAAAGCATCTGTGTATGTATAAGGAAAAAAATGTTAGATGGTCTGATCAAATCTGAAACTCCCTTTTCAGCTCCAGATTAGTTCTGTCCATCCTATCCTCTATCATGAATTATGGACCACTTACTTCCATACCCACAGAACAAGTGCGCCTTACGGCTATCTTTCCACGAGAGGCCACACGGAGAAATAAGAATGGAGTACCTATGATGTCAAGAACAAGCGCCATGAGCTCAAGCTAAAATGTTTGGTGGGAATTTGAGATGGAGACTGCTCTTCTCGTATGTGCCCTGGTAAATCCGTTCTTGTTATTTTGCCATCATTACCATTCGGTCCGCAAGCCCCTTGCCCTAACTAGTCATATCCAGTCAGAGTCTTAATAATGAACAGACAGTGGCATACCGGAGTTGCTTGCTTGATACACAGCCTTTGTATGCAGCGAGACTGGCTGCGGACGTGTGAGATCTCACCCGCCAAGCCTGTTTCAATGACAATACAGGAGGAGCCCATGTGACCACCACCAAGTCAACTTTTCCATGTGCGGATGCGGATTACATCGCCATGCATTCATTACCACCGAATATGAGAGACAAAGGCAGGCCTCCTCGGGGCAACAGTATTGGCGACTGGCTGTTGACTTTTTTTGTCTCAAAAGCTGAGCCCCAATATCTCGGCAGGCTAGAGCAACTGTGCGCGCAGAGAAACCCAAACCCGGGCTACATGTAAGGAATACGACCGCTAGCCCAAGCCGGGAATAACAGCGATGAAGCTGTCACTGCCTGTCAGATATGTTCCGAGGTCACAACCGGCCACGTGCCATAGATGTGGTGTTCAGATATGAAATCTAAAAGGACGCATTTCGACGATACGGCGATGAATTGCATCCAGAGAGCTTCAGATCGCACCCAGCCATTATTTCCTTAACGCTGTGGCCACTCTTCACGGCAATACATCCTGGAATTCTTCTCCCTTCCCTTAGAAGAACCTATCCTGTTTCTACCCCTGGTTTTCTCCATCTTGCTCAGAGAGTAGATAAACGAAAAATCGTGAAAGTTATAATTTCTTCACGTCAGTTTTCCAGCGACTTACCGCCGCAAATGTTCTTACAGCGGCCTATCTCTTTACGCCAGGTCTTCACAGTTTAACGTCCATTCTCCGAGTTGCGGTAGCATGAGCTTTAGATGCTGGACTTTTCGAACTATCATGTTGAAAATTCAACTTCTGCGTGCTGTTCCCAGCCAGTCAGGAAGGCTTATGGAGGGGCAAATGAACGGTCAGTCACTCTTATGAGCCATCTACGTCATTGAGCGGTGAGAAAGACCGCCACCATCTGGTTCGCGTGAGCTCTAAAAATGAAGTGCTAGAAGGCGCCAAGGGAGCCCAATAATGGTTAACTATCCATTATTGCAACAACTTGAAATAGTTAATGGGGGTGGCTTCCAAAATAACCTTCCCCCTTGGTTATGCACGAATTGCATTACACATATTAGCTGGGCATACCCACGGCACATTCTTCGTCTTCCTCCTTTTCCTTTTCCTGGGCCTTCCTTCTCTCCTGCAAAAGCAGTGTTATTCTTCAGGTTTACCTAAAGCTGTTCCTACCTATCCTCTTGAACCAGCTTGTTGAGATAGCCCAGAAACGCAACATTACCTCCAGTGCTTCCTACTAGCAAATGTTCCTATAAGGAAAATTCAGGACGGAATAAATTCGGCTTTTCGAGAGATATGCCGAGCATGAATGCAAAATTTCCACCGCTGGGACTAGCCTTGTGTTCTCTGGCCGTTGCCATGGTCCAACTTCGGCAGCCATGGCTGGTCTGGTTGTTTTTTGTTTCACTCCTTCCTTGGCTACAGTTGACTTCAGCAGGTACTTGGGATATATTCAGCAATGAGCGCAGCTCAACATTATTATTATCAACTTCCATCATTGCGTGAGACAAAGGCCTGGACTAGAAGACCATCGCCAATTTCGCTTGAAAGCTTAGCTACCAAGCAAGAAAAAACGAAAAAAAGAAAAAAAATTGCGCCACTCGCAGGGGCTCTCCTCGAACCATGCTAGCATCACCCGCAGTCTCAGAGTCAGTTCTCACCGAGAATTTTATTCTCTGGATTGATTGATAAGTTGGAAGTTCAGATGCTTTTTTGAGCCTCCTCCGCTTTTATCACTCGGAGGGCCCCTGGTTCATTTCTATCCTCATCATTTCTCGTCTTGATTTGACTCGGTTGAATGAGACACAATGATGGGGAGTACTATATAGACGGCAACGTTTCCGTGGTGCGCAGATGATGATGCTGCTATATGGTTCCATTAGCTTAATGTCAGAACAAGATTGTTGATAACTCGAAGTTATATCACGGGAAAACACGGGAAAAGAAAGAAAGGAATACACAATTATCTGCACTGTTCGGGTCTTACATAGTAAGTATTAATCGCTAACCTCTTCTCTCCTCGACGTGGCGGAGTCCCTCTCTTCCCCCTAGTTGATACTTGTAGTGGGTTTTTAACTTTCTCTCTCGTGAAAGCGGTATGCAGCTTCTCTTCAGTGTAATCCCTGCTGGGAGCCCGGAATGAAGTACGCGTGTTTATTCCCATGCGGCGATATCACCCCGATGCAATCGTATGCTTCTACACCTGTCGCCCAATCTTGCTTATATTCTTCATGCAATGTTTGGGGATAGAAAAGCCAGCATGAATTGGTAGGGCATATAAGAAAGGCGACAACAAGGTAACACTGAGGATAAGGTGAATGATAAGATAATGATAAAATAGTTGGTTTTGTTTTATTGATGTATACATATATACGTATATATGTACTTATGAAAACTTGGAGACGGGACGGGCCGTGGAATTCTGGGAATAGCTGGAAAATTTTAACACAAGATATATTTAATCTATATAGGTCAAGCCAGTTGATAGATTTTGAGTTATTACTAGATATATATTCACAAGCATTTTAATTGCACAGAAGCCGCTGAATGCTCACATTCCCAGTGTCTAACTTGTTTATTTGCAGATGTGCTCGCACTCGGTACTGTGGCTGCCCGTAGCGGCCATCCCCACTGTGTTTACAGCTTTCAATCCTCCAACCCCCC